CGCAGTCTGGTCAACTGTGCTTTGATTCTGTATCAGTAGTTCCGTTACTTGACTTTTCTTACCAGAATTTAGTTAGAATTCGCTTACCAGGACACGATTCAGGGTCGAAATACAGCAGACAGACTAATCACTACCGCCTGCGCGCTCAGACATTTTCTTTAGTCCCATCCAGCATGTGAGTACTTTGTGGTGCAAAGTGCTTTAACGTGCCCGGAATTACAAAGAATGAGAGGTACGAGTGAGTTCTGTTTCGGTTCTTCTCACTTGCTTTGTGTGCTAATTAATGTTTATCGTTACTTACGCGTAACCCGGTGTTCAAGGACGACATCGGTACGATGGGAACTGGAGTACTAAGTGTATCTGACGAGCCTCCAAAAAGAGTGAGCACGGTAATTGGCTATCCACAGTTTTCGCCGGACTTCTGTTATTCTGGTACCCGCTGACTCTCCGAAGAAAAGCAGCTCTTTCTATCAAGGCGAATGATTGTTGTTCACGTAGCGCATATGGCCGCTGGTTCGTTCACCGAGCCAGGCAAGTCGGTTGCAAACGTGTGGTCACCGATCGAGATCACATCATCTGTGTAAAGCGGAGCATTAGCGGTGAACTTGCACCAGGCCGACGACTTCAAGCTTTTTTGCTGACTCATAAAGACTAGGTTTCTAATGGTACTACGGTTTTCCTTTAAAAGTTACTTCTTGCTTATTCCACATCACATCATCATTGACAGCAATATTTCGTTACATACGGTGACAAATATACACGCATGGCGTATGACAAAGACAGCCACCTGTCTGGCTTCTGAGTAGTTTACCTGAACTGTAAACTCTACGTATTAACGACTTCCACTAGAAAATATCGTACAAAATGGTGTCTTGCTCAGTTGAAAAGCATCATATCTCTGCTTTCTATTTTATTAGTTGAGCAGTTGATAGATAGTCAGTTGCCGTGGTCCCAAGAGGGCGTAGAGCTCCTGAATGAAATGGTTAGTAACATGAGTCCATACTCCACTTCTTGATTGTCCCCTCCAAGCATCAGTAACCTTTCAACATCTCAACCCCCGTGCGCGCTTAAAAGAGACTTCGCGTGAGTGCTTTTGGAAAGTGCATGGTATGAGGCTGGACATAATACCATCTTGACTTGAAAGATAGCAATATGATACTGTAAGTTCTCTAGGGATTCACGAGGATACTCGGAAGGATTCAGTTCATTTCATAACATATGTCATCATCATTATAATCATTATCAGCTGTAAGAACCGCGTACCTGTCGCAGTGGTCATAGCTGCCACCGTCTCGTTCACCGATGATTTGGGTAGGTGGGGTAGGTAGCTCCGCATTGGAGGCGTGAGCTGACATAATTAATGCGTAAATACAGAGTTGTCTGTGGACATTTAAGTGGGAAGAGAGCTATACATTGAGGTCAGTAGCTTGGAAGCACGAGCGCCATTGAGGGCGCGACTGGGCCATATCTAACAATGTCTCCAAATACTGACCTGCCCCGTCACGGGGTCCCCATCCAAGGAGACGGCGAAGACCAGCGCAGCTGCGTATGCTAGTAATGGTTTTTATAGTTCGTTGCTAAGTTAATGTCTGGCCTCTCCTGACTCGCCTTCACGCTTCTAGTAGTTGGATGAAAAGAGCCCTTCGATAAATTCAGCCGACTGGCATACGAAGCACGTGGCAAAGCCAGCGCAATCTATGCAATGTGATTAGCTCATCTACCATGGATGAGTTATCTCTTCCGAAAACCATTCGACATACTTAAGCACTGACGATCCGGTGTTCCCATCAGACTCGGACAACTATGCGCAGATATCGATGGTCAAACGCTGAAAAACTTGAAAACCTCGGCGCGCAGCGGCTAGGTTTCTGATTCGTATAGTAATACGGACCACACCACAGCATTGTAAACTCGACCTTTGGCGGATAAGCTGATGTCACGCCTACGCCATAGGTGACGCAGGTTCACAAAAGCTGCTCTGGCCTTCCTACTGTGAATAGAAATATCATAATGTGTGTATAATATATGGAGTACCTCAAAGTTAAGGCTTATCACGAGTTCGTCCAAGTGTAAGATGGGCAAGTGTTGCAGCACTGGAGTGAATCTGAAGCGTCTCGACCGCAATGAAGTCGTGGTATCACAACTCATGTCTTGAACTTCTGATGTCATCCCTGATCTTGCCTATTGCGTTACCCACCATTAGGGGGCTATAAAATGTACAAAAGAACAAATAGATAGGTGAATGAAGGACTCATAAACGAATAAACAGGATAATTGCTTAGTTGACTGATGAATGGACGAGCAAGTCAATAAAATGTGTTCACTTCGTTTGCAGCTTCCGTGCACAATAGAACTGTACGTTACCGGGCTACTGAGGTAGCATGTCTATGAGTGACTAATTGACAGTCTCTTATTAGCGGTAAGCTTTTGAAAGGGGCCCGAGTACAGAATGTACCTGATAGAAAATCGGTCTAAAAAACAGTTTATGACCTTTTTATCACCAGGTATGCAAGCCATCATGAAATTTCGTTCTGCTCATCCTCATTTTACCTATGTCGTAAGATGTATGACCTTTTATCACCAGGTATGCAAGCCATCATGAAATTTCGTTCTGCTCATCCTCATTTTACCTATGTCGTAAGAAATAACCACGAGTTGTTTTATCTTACTAGAGTGAACCCTCCACTTTGACTGTGCTTTTGCATTAGGAACTCCATTGATCCTGTAACTGTGACGACCTGCTCGATGGAACAGTGTCACACCAGTGGTCGGATGAGTTACAACCTGCACGGGCTCATATGCTTACCTTCTATAACCGCTTGCGGGAGAAGTCTGGCGGAACAACACAACAGTCACAGCTCCCGAATAGTGGTTTATCTGGCCATACCTGGGAAAAATCTGTCCTTGCACCAAAACTAGTCGCCTGTATAGTATTTATCGAGACCACGCCAATGAGAATGATTAACAGGGTGATACCGAAAAATATGTTGCAGTATTTCGAAGAACTGAAATCATCATCTTTGAGGAATTGCACAAGTAGGAGGCAGGCAAAATATTATCGATAGCCAATTCCGGCTTAATTCTCCAAGATGCTGATGACGCGCTAAATTTTGAGGTACATGCAATAGGTGTTACGATGAACCTCTGATCTTTCAGTCTTCGTGCTTCTTGAAAAAATAACTGAGAATAGTGAACTGAAAACCTTAATAAGGTGGGATAGTTTTTGTGCAACAGCGAACCGAATTAAACGACACAAACCCCACACATATATTAGATAAGTGGTAAAACTGAAAGAACAGATGGTCAAAAGAAAAGTAACAAAAGATTGAAGCGAGATGGCCCAGAGACTACAGCGTGAATTCACTAAGATCTGTCGTTCGAATCCTCTCGACTTCCCCGGTCTGAGTTTGGCAACTTGGCAGTATCCCAGCCCTCGGGCTTCCTTCGAGTGGCACGGCAGCTAGTTCACCGAAAGGGGCTACAGCTGAGAGCATTTCAGGCAGGTAAAGCAATACACACTTTTCTCCAAATAAACCAGTTTTTCCTCAAAGTTACAACCCACTTCTGGTTTTGCGTTCTAGACCTCAACATTACTGGTAAAACGGAAAAAAACGTTTGTGGTGTGCACCGGGACGAACTCCAATTTTTGGAGAGCTTGCTGATGAATCATTCCTCAATCTACTGAGGAGTGACGAAGACACACCATCCTGGACTGGTGTTCCTGAAGTCCTTGGGCTGCTACCGCTTGATAAATACAGACTATAACAGATGAGTAGTAAGAAAAGCAACAGCTTCAAGTTGCAAACGACCTAAATCCGCATACTTTTGCAGCAGATTTTTCGCTTCTTTTATTATGGACCGCAAACCTTTACCTCATCAGCTCCATCGTCTCCACAAATGATTTGTTATTGCTGTCCGCTTTTGAAAGACGGATTTTCATTATGTTTAACTACCCTACACCTCGAAGAAACAACACTTCCGTTGTTCTTACCATGGAGCGTTCGGATATTTTCTCCGTGCCAGTTCTCAGTTCGGAAGCAGCTTGCACCAGACCATTTTTTCGGGATCTCATCAGATTTACTCTCAACCCAACAACACGCCAAAATTACCCTACCTGGAACACCCGTGCTACCGCTTTTCACCAGGCGTAACCATAGCGTTGAAACATACTTCATGCAAGTTACTGACATGCTGGAACACTATTTCATCTCAAGTGAGAGCGACACTGACAAATTTCGGAACCACATTAGCGCAGGATTTGGAGAGGACCTACTCTGCATCCCGTGTATTTAAATAAATTAGGCGGTGGGTTTGGTACACAGTGCCAGTATATATGGGCGATAAGTGTATCCAGGTCTACACTCGGGCAACAATATAGTTACAAGGAAAAATCATTTTTTCCGCGGTTTGGTCACGCAAATGCGACTTGCGGTCCTCATTGCACTGTGCAGTGTATAGATGTTGACCCCAGAGTGTCGTCCGTGACTGAGCCGAGCGACTGGAGTTGGCGTGGATGTTGCGCGTTGGCTGCCGGCTGATTAGAAATGACCTGAAGTGGAAAACACGGGGCAAAGTGTGCCAAAATAGTTCGAATTCCTATTGCATGCCTCCGAAAGTCCACAGAAGACTCAAGCAGTTTTCAGTGGGCGGAACCGAAATGGGGACTGTGATAGATGACAGCGATGACACAGTTGTGCTTTGACCTGTGCCGTAGATAGGAAAAGACAACTGGTCAACCCGAAGACCAGGCAGAAAGAGCGCACGGGGATAAAAGTGAAGAGTGATGTGGGTGATGTGAATCGATATTTGGCTGCGGTTTACACAACAACCGTGGTGCACAGCAAAGGAACATAAGTCTGTTTGTGTATGTGTGGAGGTGTGTAGGTGAGTGGCGTAGACATCAATCCGCGTTATGCATCGGCGTACAAAACACAGTAAAACGAAGCTAACCGGAAATCACTCTTCGCTTAGTGGGATGGTCGGATGAAACGAGCAACTGCTTAAACTTGTTCACCTTCCTCTTCTTCCTCAAATTCACCCTCTTCCTCAGCTGTGGCATCCTGGTATTGTTGGTATTCGCTGACCAGATCATTCATGTTGGATTCGGCCTCAGTGAACTCCATCTCATCCATACCTTCTCCGGTGTACCAATGCAAGAAGGCTTTTCGACGGAACATAGCGGTGAACTGTTCAGAGACACGCTTGAATAACTCTTGAATAGCCGTGCTATTTCCAATAAATGTTACAGACATCTTCAACCCCCTAGGAGGAATATCACAGACTGCTGTTTTTACATTATTCGGAATCCACTCGACAAAGTAGCTAGAATTCTTGTTTTGTACATTCAGCATTTGTTCATCCACTTCCTTCATTGACATTCGCCCACGGAACATGGCGGCCACAGTCAGGTAGCGTCCGTGCCTGGGGTCACAAGCGGCCATCATATTCTTCGCATCGAACATTTGTTGTGTCAGTTCTGGCACGGTGAGAGCACGGTATTGTTGGCTACCACGGCTTGTGAGCGGCGCGAATCCAGGGATGAAAAAGTGCAATCGGGGAAATGGAACCATGTTGACAGCCAATTTTCGTAGGTCGGCATTTAGCTGACCCGGAAAGCGCAGGCATGTGGTCACACCGGACATTGTCGCGCTAACCAAGTGGTTCAGATCGCCATAGGTTGGGGTTGTCAGTTTCAGAGTACGGAAACAGATGTCATACAACGCTTCGTTGTCAATGCAGTAGGTTTCGTCTGTATTCTCAACCAGCTGATGGACAGACAATGTTGCATTGTAAGGTTCCACAACAGTATCAGACACCTAAAAGAATTGGGGCTAATGTGAGTGGGTGTGGCATTAACTTACCTTGGGTGACGGGACAACGGAAAAAGTACTCATAATCCGATCAGGATATTCTTCACGAATTTTCGAGATCAAGAGCGTTCCCATGCCGGATCCGGTCCCACCACCAAGGGAATGAGTAAGCTGGAATCCTTGAAGACAATCGCACGATTCTGCCTCCTTTCGAACCACATCCAAAACGGAATCAACTAGTTCAGCGCCTTCCGTGTAATGTCCTTTGGCCCAGTTATTCCCGGCCCCACTTTGTCCAAAAGTGAAATTATCGGGGCGGAATAGTTGCCCAAAAGGGCCAGCTCGGACGCTGTCCATGGTACCAGGTTCCAAATCCACCAGGATTGCTCGTGGAACATATTTACCACCGGTTGCTTCATTGTAATAAACGTTAATACGCTCTAGTTGTAAATCGGAATCGCCGTGATAAGTGCCGGTTGGGTCGATGCCGTGTTCATCAGAAATTACCTCCCAGAACTGAAACAAAGACAATTCTTTGGATTTTACCGAATAGGAGTGCAGACAATACCATGTAGCAGCATAACTAGACTATGTACTTACTTTTGCTCCGATTTGATTTCCACACTGACCGGCTTGAAGATGTACAATCTCACGCATTGTTCACGGGCGGTAAAGCACACGCGTGTAGACGGTGGATTCCACTGAATAGAAATGGTGAATTCAAATGGTGCGCAGGCTTTTATTGCTGTCACCCTAGGTGCTCGCATAGCAATGCTGTTCAAACTAGCTACTGCATTGAACTGCGTGCGTCCACGCCTGTGCAGTCGATTTCGATCAATACATCCGTGTGAAGTCTGTGTACATAGTTGCGGGCAATGCATAGTGTTGATCAACTCAGTTCGGCTGTTCATGTGTGTCGCTAGTGTGTAAGTCGCATGTTAAATAATGGAAGTATGCACATACTCCAGGCAAATATTGCTCGGTTCCAATCGATTCCACTGACTGTTGTTTTTGCCTGGTGAAACCATGTATTCGTAGGTATTTGTGTTCCGACAGAAAACTATCAGTCCATTTGGCGAGGATACTAGTCAAACCAACACAATGGAGGGGATGTACACCATTCATGTCTGTAAACGCATTTTGTAGGTATACAGTACAGCTTTATTATAACATAATAGCTAATTCGTTCGGGAACCAGTTAGGTTGGAATTTCTATATCGTTGCAGTTTGGGTATTCTAGTGTTAAACCGACAAATTGCACGCTGTTTGTCACCGCTTGCTAGCATCCATTTAGATCGGAATTTGGGCGTGGATGCTGTGTGTGTAAGGTACACAGGATAGTAGTTTTTAAAACGTAGGCGATAAAAATGATGTTGGAATGTTAACAATTTGGGTGCATTTATAGGTGGTTGATCAGGTGGCTACTGATCAACAGCCGATCAACCAACAACACACGATATTCTATAACAAGAACGCAGAACATGGACTAAACGTAATTATAAACGATAGATGCGAAGAACGCTTTCAGTGGAAAAGGAGCATGCAGGTAGACAGGAATTTGATGCACCTGTAGTACGAATAAGTTACCTTCCGCACAGGTGTTCCAATCATAGTTCACTGTTTTGACGTTACATAAACAAGAAGAAACAGGGAATCACGAATTGACCTTTGTAGAAAATCCTACCGAGAAAAGATGAACAGCTATGAGACAGTGTAAGTGTTTTCAGTAAACCGGAAGATGTTTGGAACCGACTGCTTATCGGACCTGTGTAGAGCGGAAGTTTTGATTAGGCATTCAAATGACTCAGAATGACGAGTTGCGATTCGGCAGCATTGTCATCGCAGCCGTCGACAAGAAACCAAAACCCCAAACAGTTGGGATAGAACCACGGTGCTGGTTTCGTTTTACATTTGCGACGTATGGAAGCATGGCCAATTATTTTATGGGGTATGGCACAAAAACGAGGCGGATACGTATTTGTTCGATTTATGCACTCATTCTTATACCAGCTGAATTTTTCCTTTGTGATGTTCGTAATCAAATGAATGTATAAGGCTACCTCATGTTCCAGTTAGTACGATATTCGAAATATTGCAATGCATCGTATAGATTTAATATGCTACTCATTGGGTTGCTGAAAACCCTTCCACGACTCACGATCGATTTCGTCCTTCTTGGGGCGCAGTCTATGAGATTTCGTCAATCTAATTTTCTACGGAAGGCCAGCGACTGCGTCTACCTGAAAATTTTTAAGAAAGGTGAAACCGATCGTGGGTTGTGCACGAATTTTCAGCAACCTTCTGAGTAGTGTATTGAATCTATACGGATTTGTTCACTTCACATCGTCACAATAGATACTCGGAATTCCGGAACGCTGATGAAATCAGACCACTAAATACCCTCTCGACAAACTTCGGTCAGAAAACCTTACAGAAAACAACAGAAATTACTTTATTCTGCTTATCCATTGCTGGATCATCGCAGGTGCACTAGATCTTCAAAAACTCCAACCGATTAAGTGTACTTTGTGGTTGCTTAAGTTGGTTCGTCCGTATCTACTCATATGTGAGGTGTAGATATGAAATGATAACAACGTCAGCCATTGGCTGCTCTCCGAATTCCATTCCTTCTGATCCCATCCAGAACTGTCGCCACTCTGTTGGACACTGCGCAGAAATCGTCTCCACAAACCGTGCTTTATCTGCTCTTTCACCACAACGTGCAATTACTTCGGTTATTATCCTGTTTACGATTTATCAAGCTTTTAACACTGTTTCCACCCTGTGAACCAACTGCGATTGTCTGCATCTGGGAACACTTTGGATCTAGTCTCTCATGTAGACTGTCTGTAGTGCAGTGTTGGCTGTAGGGCGTTCCAGACGGAAGAGAAACAGAAAATTTCGCTTTCATTCAAAAGCCATATTAATCAGGAACTTCACTGAACCTCAGCTGCATGTCCCGTTTATAGTTTCTCATCTGAATGTTCTGCGAACAAAATTGCTTTGAATTTCAGTTGGAACAGCTCAGTATCAAGGTATTCTGCTTCATGTGACTCTCAGAAGTCTGCTCCAGTTCTATATGTAGTATCATATGAAGGAAGTTCCTAACGTTTTTAGATTTGCCTCCTGTTGACTTCCTCTTACGAGAGAGCCACCTCTTAGAATATGTTACTTTGCGTCAGCATCTTGAACTGGTTTGTTTAGGGGTGGACAAGGGTATAGGTGAACATGAGCTTCAAATGTGCTTGAGAAAATTCCCTTATCTTCCTGGATTTGGACATCTTGATGTGGACCCGCAACGGTCAATTCAAAGGCCTGTTGGCGTTTCGTTTAGAAGGTACAAACTGGGAGCTGGTGCTCCTTCATGTTGGATCCATTCGTAAAGTGGTATCCCATGAACTTCGGGACAAGGTGAGAAACGCAAGCATGGACTCTTCTAACAAATACAAATGGTACTGAAACTCTACCGGTTATTCTTTCGAAGGAAAAGTGTGGTCCAGTTAAAGTACTCATAAAAATTCCAGCCCGAACAATCAAAGTTGGACAACAAACGACCCCGATAGGAATCGATTATTACTAGTTCTACTCAGGCCCACATGTCATCATCATCATTGTCAGCTGTAATAACCACGTACTTGTCGTACTGTGGTTGTAACTGCCACAGTTTCGTTCACCGATGATTTGGGGAAGTAGGGTAGATAGCTGCGCATTGGAGGCGGGAGCTGATAAATTCGTGCGTAAATACAGCACTGTAGGTGGACTGTTAAGTAGGGGGGAAGGGAGCTATGCATTTAGGGCAATAGCTTGCATGCATGAGCGCCACTGAGGTCGCGACTGGGCCATTTCTGACAATGTCTCTAACCATTGATATGGCCTGTCTCGGGGTCCCCATTCAGAAAGATGGCAATGACCAGCCCAGCTGAGTTTGCTGCCAATGGCTTTTATACTTCGCTACCGAGTCAGTGTTTGACCGCCTCTGGCTCTCTTGCGCCCTTCACATGGTTGTGCGAAAAGAGTCCTTCGAGGAATTCGGTGGACTGGTATACGCAGCATGTGGCCAAGCCAGCGCAACCTGTGATCAGTTCATCTATCGAGGGTGAGTTATTTCTCCCGAATACCATTCGACGTACTTCAGAATTGCTGATCCGGTGTTCCCATCAGATTCGGGCAATGCTCTGAAAACACGTAGGGATTAAGAACAGCCGTGCCTGTGAGCGGTAAACAGGGGCTAACTGTGTCCACAAACTGCAGACATGATCATTCCCTTCTTGAATCTCTATCATTCATCTTCTGGGTAAATTCCTCTTCATCCATACTAAACTCTGCCCTTCTCAGGATTCTTTAGGCTGGTGTGTGTGATATTTGGCAAATACGTGCCAGTTTCCGTACACCACGTGCCACATTTCATGCGTTTTTCCGAAATCACAATTCCCTCAACAGTTGGTTTTTGGTCTGACCTTCCGAAGAAATTTCGATTGTTAGCTTAGTTACCGGAACTCGCGTTGAACCTGTGATTTGTTTGTGGTATAGTTTTCCCAGAGTGGTAGTACAAAACTACCAAGTCTAATATCCCCGTCCAGGTAAACGGAACCACTGATTACAAATCTGTGGCAACTGACAGCAAGCACGATTTGTATCCACCACATTAGCCCAAACACACGTTTGATCAAGGAATTTTCGACAACTTATCGGGATGGATATGCATACCGTCTTCGTTTGGTACTGCTATCAGCCCAAGAAAGCTCAGTCAACGGGGTACTGATAACACGATCACCAGTGCTACTACGTTTTGACTTGGGTGCATATAAACCTGATAAGCCTACTGAGAGGCGAACTCGAGGGAGCCGGGAAACTGACACAGTCTTCTAAACCAAAAGTTTCATTGGTTCTTGACTCACTAATGCAATTACAGACGGACCGGGAGGATGTAAGTGTCCTAACAGATATATAAAGCTGAAACAAACTTTGCGAAACCCGAGCATTGCGTTCAGTTGTCGGAATACCCAATGGGTGCGTCGCGTGGATGCGTGGCGGACTTTTCGCGCGCGTATTTGTATATGACAGTAGCCGTGCCAGTGTTACACACTGATATCATATTGTAGACGATGATGATGAAGGATGCACTACTTGCCCACACTAAAAGCACATTATGAAACAAGCTTCCAGAGAAGTTTTTTCACTGTGGATACTCCAATTACTAATGCGTAAAGGAATCTCTCTTTAGGGTGAAGCGTGATTGGGAGAGTAGTGTCGACGACCGGCCACAAGCTTTCTTCTATCCAGATGAATACACGGTTTTAGGACTTCTTGGTGTTGAGGCTCTCGTCGACCAGTGGTGCAAATGAAGAGCTTCTTTAGTTAGACCGGAAATGTCCCATAACCCGTAGCTGTAGAGGAATAAAAAGTTTTCTTGATCTTCTATACGTTCAAAACTTGACGTGTTTATCTGTGGGGCTAATCTGTCCTCTGTATTCACTTGAATGTAAATGATTTCACGGAGTGCCTAGTGCCTTGGAAAAATTCGAATGTGTGAGAGCCATCAAGAGCAATTAAGGCGCGAATGGACTGCTCGCATTAGATGCAGCGCAATCGGCAGATGGACGAAGCCAGCTCCAAGTCGCATGAACATCTGGTGCAGCCAGGCGTAGTACAGACTGGTTGAGCTATGACACGTACCACGTGTGCCACGTGGTACGAGTTGACGGTAAAGCAAACCTCGGATGAAAATCTTCAATGTTGGCCAGTGAGTCCGTTAGTGAAGCACCCAGCGAGTAAGCACCGATGGGTTTATTGAAAGCTTATCGCAGCTCCGATTATGACACTGAGTCCGTTGGTGAAAGCTTATCGCAGCTCCGATTATGACATAGTGAATAGGGACAGAGCCGGAAGTACAGACGAAACTCATCCAAGATATCGAACGGTGATGCCTCAGTCAATCACTTACCTTGTACCCTGCAACCGTTGCATGTATACGGTCTCCGATTCGGCCATTTGGAAATCGAATACTCCGGCTAAGTGTACAATCCGTATGATGTAAGCAAATGCTTACATACAGTGAGAAATCCTTTGCACATGGAAGAAAGCAAATATCTATAGATCTGATTGGGTGACTGCACTGATCTTGGATAGCGCAATAGCTTGTGCGAATAGTTACTTGTTTATTGAGGGAAATGAACAACTTCGGTATTACCTTCACCTGACTGAGTTGGAGATTTGCACATGAAAGCAAATATCTATAGATCTGATTGGGTGACTGCACTGATCTTGGATAGCGCAATAGCTTGTGCGAATAGTTACTTGTTTATTGAGGGAAATGAACAACTTCGGTATTACCTTCACCTGACTGAGTTGGAGAAAGTTCTCTGTGCACCATACATCTTGCTCTAAGGCTATTTGGTTTCAAAGCGTGTCAAATCCATTAGCACAGTTTTTCCATAGCAATCGGATCGTCTCACGATATGAAATTAGGGTACCCAAACCGTGCATTCCTACTCGCAATCCAAGCCTCTTGCTCAATCACCACGATAACCGGCGGATGCGTCGAATAGAAATACACAGACACGCATGGATGATACATGGGTAACTCAATTCACCGTTTTCAAGCTCGATATTGTATCGTAGATTGAGCGAAAGCCGGAACTTATCGCGACTGTCACTCGGGAACAGAGCGGTGGACTAATCCTGAAATCTCAACAAAGAAAGGCGAAAAAATCCGTGCGACTGGATTAGGCCACTCGAACATCATCGTCGGGTTGAACGCAGAAAAAAAACCAGTTGGTAATTCAGTGGGCTACCGGTGTAACGGGGTACTACTGATGGGGGAGGCATGCGAGTAGTATGTTTTCTTGTAAATTCGCCATGCGTCTCTTGAAAAGGGAGACCTGTTGGGGAATTTGTGAAGTCGTCTTCTAGCACTTGCTTGAATTTGAGCAACAGTCTATGAATATCCAGAAAAGTTCAGGAAGACGCGTTCAAAGAGAGGATGGATATTCAGTTTTTGTGAACAAGATGCATATGGGAGTTTTGCTTCCCCGTCCAATAGTCTGTAACCGTTCACTTGGCGTTTTCTAATAAACAAATCCGCAGCGAAGGCCTTCTTCCTTTCACCGGTAGCAAAACAGGCGTGCATTTTACTGATTCAGTATTTGGAAAGTCTGAATGGTGGACGCAAAACCAGTTTCACAGGCTATTGGTTAAAGATTCTGCAGCTACACGCCAACGAAGCATCCGTATTTACATTTGGGACGAAACAAGTTGTTACGCATCATTGGCCACTCTACGATAAGGACAAAGATTGAGCTAAGCTCATATGCATTTATCCTTGTCACTCATCGTCTGTGAACCGCATCCCAGTGAGTCCACTGTAAATCCACTGATTCTCTTCCAGTTGCCTAACCAGTGTGGATAATACCAAACGTTTCAAGTAAACATATACTGGCAACTTCAATCCAAATTTTACGCAGCAGGACCTGTGAGGACTCACCCACCGGAGTGGCTGCATAACAGGTTCGAGTTGACTTGCATAAGGATAGTGTTTTACAGTCAATCTTATTTTCACCAATCCAAATGGGTCAGTGAGTGAGTAGTAAACGTATTTTTGGCTTTCGACAAATACACTCATTTGCACACCAATGTTTTTGACGGTAGACTCAACTGAATAACATCATAAACGAGGTTCTGCCGTTAAAACCAAATCGGTCTGCAAATAAGTAGTGCATTTATCGACTATCATAGTTTGGGTCCAAGTAAAAAATAAAGCTGACAGAAACTCATGGACCGTCCGATTTTTTGTCCTTGTCCGAAATAGGGTTGGGCTTGTCTGTTATAATCATCCCGTCGTCCAAATATTTGCGGATGGCAGTATAACACACTTCTGTGTCCAGCTGGGTTTTTAGTACTAGGCAAAGTGACCCCAAAGTTACCAGTGTATCTTTGTTGATATGGTAATGAACTCGGCCCCTGTTAAGCACCTCTGTTTACGGCCACCATGACCTTAATGAACTCTACTGTGAACAGAGTCAAATGTCCTTTTGTGTACAATAAGAGGAGCAACAATGGTTTTCTAGTCCGGTTGTGGTTGGCCGAAAGTATGTATTGACGCGTCGAAGCGAGACAGGGATTACGTTAGGTGCCGCGCACCATCGACTCTGTCATGTCGAATAATATGGGACAAGTCAGCTTGTGCGAGCTCGACACAAATGAGCGTAAATGATTTGACCACCTGTGTCCAAGGTCGTGCCGGCTAACAATGACTCTTGCTCCTATCGTTTCAGGAGTGGTGGATATTACTGAACGGAAACTAGGGTTACCGCGGCGCTCACTGTGTAAATTACATACAACTGAACAGCTTACCAGTAAGAAGACAGTTATTATGCTTTGTCACAAGTCAGCGATCCGGCGGTGATCCACAAGAATTAAACCAGTGAACTTATTGCTCAGAAAATCCAGCAAGCAGCGAGAGGAAACTGGTTATTCAATGACGATACCCAACACAACACACGGACACCAGATTGGTAATCCTGAGGCACTTTGTGAATCTCTTACCATTAATTACACCAGGTTGTATGAACCGAAAGCAAATACTTAAGATACGAAGGCTTTGCCCTCAATACAAAGATGTTTGCCCAGAAGTGTGGCACATCGGATTAGTTTCACACCTTTAAGACGGTTGTGTTTCAACATCATCATCATCATCATCGACAGCATGACATCAGTGTTCAACACCAATGTGGAACTAGCCAATTTGTAAGTAAAGCCAACAGATAGAAGCGTGCAGTCCGTAAGGCGTTTCCCTCAGGCGACCATGTTATATTTGTCGGGGTAAAGATACCATCTTATGTCAAGTGAGGAAAGACTACCCTTGGAACATAGACTTGAATCACCCAGCGCCGTCGGCATATTATCCGCCTTGGCACAGATGCCGAACTTAGCGACAACTCAATGGAGTTCTGAGAACAGTAGACGGAAACACCTATCCCCATCCAGAGCTGGAACATTCGAACAATTCTGATACTCAGTGAGATACGCTCAGCCAAAATTGCGGATACGCAAGGTAGATAAGCACACTGATTTGAGTTAGCACCGACTTCAATGAAATAGGTAGACAAATCTTTCTGTCGTTGAAGCGTGAATCCAATACTGACGGTTTCAGCTATGGCGTTGATGAAAGCAGTAACCGCCAGCATGACAGCCTATTGCTTTCGATAATCGTGTTTCTTTACAACCAACCAAGTTGGTGCAACTTCGTGTATCCCACTGCCATTCAGTTCAGCAGTCAATAAGATACCCTTCACAACTGAGCTGACTATTAACACGGCTGTCAAATATAAACCGGGTAAGTACTTGCACAATGGTTCCAGCAACAAGTTAAGTCACAGACGAAGAAAAGACTTGGGTGGAAAACTTGCACAGGTAACAACAGAAAGCATTGAATTGACTTTAGTAATTAATACACAGTTGTGATTTTTTGCTATTGGTGATGGAAACAGTAAACGACTGCCACCACGCGGGTGACCGTCCTATGCCAACATCTTTAAACATCGATGCAACCCGCTTGAGACAGTTTTGTAGCGATTCGGTGCCAGCGTAACTCTGTGGAACTTATCCACCTTGTTTGGTTGGGTGGCAAGTGACCTTCGAATCACGTGATCAAGCTTGCGCTATCCGCGGAGCCCCATTTGTACATTTGCCAAGTTTCAAGTTTTTTTTCTCCGAAAATCCTTTGGAGAATCTTAGCCGTATTAAACAGATTTTCCCACTGGACCTCAGCGATTCTTTGGTTAAACTAGCTAACACTAGCGGTCCAACAGTAACAAAATGCTCGCATTAGCCAGACTTCTGATCCACGTACCAGTACCGCGACCACAGAACCGCAAATTATACCCCGGACAGGATGAGTGTGTTATTTAAATACCAGAGGTGATGTGGGTTGGAAAGAGTCGCTTAATTCTTTTCGTATTCAGGATGGGTTTCGCTTCTAGTCAAACCCTTGCAACGGTCGAGTCACTAACTTCCTCCTCAAGAAGGTTGTCGTACGGCATTTTTGGAGATAATGGTAACCTGTTAATCGCATATCACCGTGCAGCATAGAGTGCGAGAACGACCAGTCGCATTGTGATATTTTCAGATGCTTATAATGCCCATAATTCATGAAAATGCCGAAATCACTAGTATCGACTACGGAAAATCTTGTGTTCTGGCTGATACATGTGCATAGTCACACAATACCGTTGGTCATTACCACGTTCAGCTTTAAAAACCGTGTGTTTACCGCACAGTAGTGCTAGCTGCCAGTTTCTATGGAGTAGAAAACTCCAAATGCTACCGTGTAACTCGGATGGAGACGGGATAGCAGTCATAAACATATACCCGAACATTGGCCGCCTCCTTTGTAGTGCAGTACAGTAAATATGCTTGCGAAATCGGCACTGCAGCAACCACCCCGAATGTGCCCGACCGAACTGCATAGGGAGCAGTCTTATTCGCCAAAATGGACATTTTATGAGGTAAAGTTTGCTCGTTCTTCTGCTAGTAACGTTGCTCAGATTTCCATTATGGTCTGGTCAAAAGATATCCATATCATACGCGCACTCAAAGTCGACGGGCAACACATCCTGGTAAAATCTGAGCACGAAAATCATGTCAGTGAGAAAACTGAGGACAAGAGTGTGAAAAAAAACTTTTTGATGTCATCAGATCCGGCAAAAACAAGCACAAGCTTTCTGTAGATCTCTTCTGTCTGAAGAAGTTAGTATACAACGCTTTTGGAGGGATCAGACGCTTGAGCCAGGCCTGTAATGGACATTCAGGAGACCCTTTCACGATGAGAGTCAGGATGTCATCCCAAGCACACTCAACAACAACAGGATGTACAAGTTGAGGTAGTGAAAGTAAGCATCCATTGGATCCACTGAATGGAGAACGATGCTAGACAAACACCAACTACGAAAGTGACACGACTTGTTACGAAAGTTGTCTGCGCCGGAAAATCCGTGTTGAAGAGACGAGGGAACCCATTTGAGAGGCCCACACATCAGGAGGATCATAACAGAGCCACCCGACAGGGACAAACCAACAATGGCCAAACAGACTGCATAAGCCCAATCTTACCATGGAAAGAGAAAGAAAAGAGAGAGTACCCAAATATGGAGTTGAAACTACGATAGCGCTTAAAATATGGAGTATGATATACAGCGCGTAGGGAAATGAAAACAAATGAATGAACGACCGGAAAAACCATTGTTTTCAACTGAACCACTATACCCGGGACAAAAATCCGCAACACATACACGTAACCGTGGGAACGCCGACACAAGTTTGAAGAAGAGAGTATGGAGTGGCAACAAATGAACAGGATAACCTCTTGAAATGAGCAGGCTGAATGTACAAATAAACAAAATGGCTGTTCAATACAGAATCTTGCCAATTAGCATTGATCCTAGATGGAATAACTCCGAACCGCAAAAGGTCGGGAGCTAACAACACAGAACCCTTATTTTCCAAAAACTTATATACGTATTCTAATCCCCGTAAGCCCTGAACCCCCTAGTCCTTACCCCCCCTGGAATTACCCCGAACTTGAGTGACTTGGTGGACAGTCATGCCCTAAAAGCTAATCCCATGTTCCCTTAGTTCCCCCTTTACAACCCGGCTATGCCTAAGGATCTACTACCCACTAACCAGGAAATTATCCCCCCTAGAGAAAAAGAACTACAGAAGGAAAGAGGAGAGAAAAACAAAACAGAAAAAGGATGGTAGGGATGAAAAAAGGCGGAGTCCCGAGAAAAAACGTAAAAGAATAGTCTGTGGCTGTGAACCAAGTAAAGCCGAAACTGTCTGGAAAAAACGCACTGACGCTGAAAAACGGCATGTGGAGGTAAACTCGAAAAAAGTGACGTGCGGAAAAAAACGATGGAGTGGAAAAGCAAGTCGAGACGAAAAAACGACCAGGATGGTTGGCTGGATAGGTAAGTTAGATGAGAGTGAGAAAAACGAAAAAAAACAGACACGACGGACCAGGAAAAGGATCGCACACGGACGGGGAAAACGTAGACGTGGGAACATCCGAGACGCATAGACACCTTTGACGCGCGCAGACTGTTGCAGGTGTGATAACCAGGTATGATGCATGGACACTTTGAACACGACCAGGAGGTAAGGTGCACTGTAAGGAGTTGAAAAGCAACAGACAGACGGAAGAGATGAAAGGTACTTACTGCGGTAACCAAAGCATGAATACAGTAAGTCTGACTTGGTTGATTTATACCATACAAATTTATATGAATACACTTACAACAGTCTTGTGGGTTATATGGGTTAACAGGTAAGCGAAGGCGAAGAGTTGAGTCATTGAACCCCATTTCACGGAATCCCGAAATTCTGTCTCAAGCGCTATCACATAATATTTTACCAAGGCCCATCATCCCAGAAAATTAGAAAATGCATTTCACGTTATCTGTCGGGCGCCCTAAGGAGATCACGAACACGGGACATTCAGGATACGATGCACTGCTCCGGCCGTTATAGTCCAGTTCCACAGCCCACAAGAGGGGATGTACGGTTTTTGAACGTGTCCTAGTCTATCATCAGTCCGGCTACACTTGTGTGTGATGTGGCCCTTTTGCTGGGTGAACTGCGGGTTTCTGCATCTAACTGCTTCATACAGCTTCATTTAAATTGGAGAAGTACTAACCCGATAACATTCACAAAAACTACACTTTGTTCACTACAATCATTGTGTGAGAATACAAGTTCAGAAAAAATACAAATCAGGGAGAGGATAGCTGGGATACTAGTATATCGAGTAATTCGCGTTCAACGAACGTTAGGAATAGATGTCGATGTGAAGGCGTTTTGAAAAACTATATCCCGAACGACGAGAAATACTTAGTGATATTCAGAAAATGAGGGTCTTGGAGTGTGTGAGAAACTAGGGATCCAAATAACCCTGCATCCTAACTGAACAGTTCAGCAACGGGTTTGGGGAGGGCACAAAGAAAAGAATTGAGGGGAGTGAAAGGAATACGGTGCCGAAGAAGACAGAGGCATCGATTTTTCGTTTGCGTGTTAGTGTTTATTTCTAGTATCGTGCTCTTCCGCCAATGCAAAGAAAATCTGGATGCGCCAAAATTCGAAGGAACCCTCGATCCTACATGTGCCTCGACTTTTTTTAAATGCACTAAGTGTAGTATGTTCAAGGGACTACTTTGCCATCAGGTATTGCACTGGTATTTAGTTTAATAACATGGTCATCAAGATTGTTCTGCCTACCATGTTACTTTAAACTTCAACAGGGTGCCGATACCCCATGTAGCAAACTAAGTTATTCACATTGGAAAGCCTCCACCTAACTGTCGTGGGATCGTATTGAACAACATAACAGTAATTCATTGTGCTTATTCGCGCTTAGTGTAATCAGAAACAAAACGAATAGGTGAGTGCTTGAGCCACTGTACTGACGATACTGACATATAGCTTGTCTCTTTCAACTTGGAGCGTGTTCTACGTGTAGTACGCTGGTAGCAAAAAGCTGGTGTTACACGCTGTTGATATCTTGTTCCTACTTTGCACGATACCACCACCGTAAGTGTCAAGTAGGCTGAAAGCGTAATCTGACTTACCCTGATGATAAACGAAACGAAACCGACACCAGTCAACGAAGCATCTATCTAGCACTGGATCTATTAGAAATACCCATAAGCAATTGATGTAACCGTGTTTACGGGGAAAATAACCGAGACGTGATGCCATAGTAATGCCCGTGGGACTTGGGATTTACATCGAGTGTAATAGTTCTGAGAATGAATTCAACCAAGTGGAGCCTGAACAACAAACGGTACACAGTTTTGTAGCCAGTTCACCGGTTATGAGTATTCCCATCATCCTTCCAACAAGCTGCACAAAAGCAACACAAAATTAACCAGGAAACCTGCAGCAAAATCACGCGGGCATGTGTTTGTAATTGTTGTGGGAAAGCTGTGTTGGAGAAGTGAGACCAACCTACGGGTCAGCATACTGGACTATTAGAGCAATGGGAGAAGAGCACTGCACAAAGCAGATTAGGATTGCTTAGAAAGGTGGTGTTTACTAAGGATGTTGACAGATAAGCAAGTCTGACCATGGTTGAAATTCAGGAAAACAAGATACCATCATTTTCATACAAACCCTTCTTACTAAGGTAAACGACTCCGTTAAGTTTTGTCGGTCATGTACGTATACATTGCACCTGCTCAACGGCGCTTACCTTTGCTCAGTGCAACAAAAGTTGAGGCCATATGGAAAATTGTGGCAAATAGGATTCAACTGGTACAAACGAGGGAAGAGTTGTTTCGAGTAGCTGAAAAGTAACTGACCCAAAAAAGTTACATTTGTATGACAGCAAGGTATCTATATTCATGCACCTAAATACATGTTCATCCGTTTTCACTCGTTACTTCAGGTGAATAGCTACACCACGACCCAATGCTTGTTTCACTGGTGATGACCATGAGCGTTTGATGAGGATATGGGGGCTGAAATCCAGCGAACGGTTTGTTCAGCGGGCCTAATGCACCAGTATTTCTTAGGATAGCTGACCAATGAGTGAAAAGCAGTATGGGGTGTAGGACCATGCGAAGGTATCAGGACAGAAAGGTCTGATTTGTGACACGGGCAAGCTGATCAGTGTAGTTTTTTTATATACACATAAAAAAAGACAAAATACGTTGTAATAGATATCTTTCAGCTGCAGCACCCTTTGGTGCCTAACTGCCATGCCACCCGAAAGTTGGGGCTGGGATACTGCCAAGTTGCCCAAGCCTAGACAGGGGATGTCGAAAGGCAGAGGTCGGATTGGAACCAAGGACCTTTCGGTCGGTAAATTCGCGCTCTAACCACTTGGGCCATCTCGCCCCTGTAATAGATATAGAAGCACTCATCGGTTTCCATGTGCTGTCTATTCAAAAAAAGATTGCCGAATGCGAATCTGGAACAATCTTTGCACTGCACCTTCGACTGAGGAAAGTAAAACCCGAGTCTCATACAAACATTGGAGGAAGTTCATTGAATTTCATGTTAACGACAGCTCAGTAGGTGGTTAAGTAGAACAAGAACTGTGTGGTGGAGATTCGGTAAGACGGTTCACCGCGGATCCTCAGGAGCTTTGTTGTGCACTTAGGTTATCTTAACTTCTATGTCAAAGTTATGGGTTGGAGTGACAAGAAGGATCGCTCCCGATTCCGAAGGGGGCGTCATTCGACCAAAAATGGCATTCGATCCCCATACTGGCGTCTTTTAATTGAGTGCTAGTCACCACTAAATTACACAAGTTCTAGATAGAGTTGATTGTACAAAAGGTAAAATCACCCCAAAACAAGCACGTGAGGAAGATTTTGGTTCGCTGGATTCCGCTATAAATCTCGAACCAAGTTTACTTACTCAAATCATGGAACACAGGATGGTTCTAAACGCGTCACGCTGTATAAATCAAGTGTCCAAAACGAGCGGATCGATAACACGTATAGTAGATCAGCCGTGGCATGTCGAGAAACGGTGGAGCAGACATAGACGAACCGACGTCAACGGATTTCAACGCACGTTAGGCGAACCAAAAACTGTAAACTGTGTGGAAGCGCCTTGCGTTTGGGAAGCAAACTGGCGACTTCCAAGCGAGGACCACGATGGAAAACGATGGAACCGGAGAAGACGGGGTGAGGTGAGTATGACACGTTGTAAAAAACGCAGAGTTCGCAGTAGCGTAATTGGAGTGCAGGCAGTTTTAGAGCCCATACTGTGAAGACAGTCGTTCACGCAACATAAGTGGACATTGAGCCCAAAATTTAGCCCACTCGTCTTCACCAACCTGTGTTTTGAAGCCGTGCAAAATCTGACAGCGTAAAAAAAGATGTAAAAACTAAGGGTGATAACTGGAAAACAGGATCAGTACCGATATTACACAAATCTAGACCGGTAACGAAAGCAGTCAGATTAGTGAATTAACAGGAGACAGTTCGCAAAACAGTATCATGAATAAATACATCCAATATATTTTAATCAGCTGGGTTGTGTAATAGCGTCTGAAAATGTTGATTAGTTGCTTTCAGATGAGTAAAGAAATCTGAATAAGCATCGTGTGGTTAGTTATTGACAGTAATGGGTTGTGACATCGCCTCTTCCAAGGTCCGAAGGAAGCGAATGAAGTCGCGTATTCTTTCGGAAGCGGATGTTTTATTTCGGTGTGTTTGTGGGATGTTACCGAATGGCCACGCTCTGAAAGGCCACAAACAAGCGTATTTTCCACCCCAGTAAACAATACCGATCAACGACACCGTGGTTTTGAAGCAAGTTCTGCTACTACTGATGGCGATGAGAGTAGTGGGTGTCGACGAAAAGCAGTAGCTGTTGAACGGTTCTAATGTACTAATTATCCAATTGATCTGAAAACTTGACAGCCGCTATTTCCGTCATAGGAACTCCGAGACAGGATACAGAAGTAGTTAGGAGTACTGACAGATACGGCCTGGTGACAATCAGTTGCGTTTCTTCATAACAACCATTGGACATCAGCAGAACATCGTGAACTCAACATATTTGCTAGCCGAAGCTAAAATGAACCCACATAACCTATTGTTAACACACTGAGGCTGACAGACGAATAAAAACCGATAGATAGAAGTAGTTTCCGGCCCCGAACGTGTATTGTATCGTCCATTACGTTGACACTTGAAATTCTCCACGTTTATTGTCCCCATTTGTAACCCCAGCCCCACCTTTGTGTTTAGTGCGTGTATATGAACTGGCGTTTGTTTGTCCTTACCACTTCACCCATTTGGCCTTGAGGTCATCCGGCCATTTGTGGGCGACTTTGTGCACGTGTGACTGCCTCACGTGGGAGTTGTTTGCTAATTTGGTTCGTACTTTTGTAGTCCAAGTGGACCATTTGTTTTGGACGAGTAGCTACCGTCGAGGTTTGTATAATTCGTGAATTTGTCTTACATCAATAGTACCGTATAGAAACTCAGCTCCGACTTTGTTTTGCCTTCCCGGAGGTTCTGGTATTACGTGCCACTCAAAGATACCATTCGCCCATTACACGTACTAATTATTCTTCTTTGGAAAACTGAGTAAAAAATGATGTCCGTATTTCCTAATCTATCCGATCCACATTGGGCCACGAAATTAGTCTCTAAATGGTGCATAAGCACAAAAGTTGGTTGAACCTACCATTGTCGTGAAGCACAATCATTGAAAAAACAATAGTGGCAGTGGCAGAAGAGCATAACAGAGTGGCACAGAGCTGAGAGTATGACGACTGAGTTGAGCCTACCATTGTCGCGAAGCACAATCACTGAAAAAACAATAGCGGCAGTGGCAGAAGAGCATAACAAAGTGGCACAGAGCTGAGAGTATGACGACTGCCTCTGCATGCTACAGCAGACTTGAGGTGTTGCCAGACAAGCTGTATTAGCCTAAACTTATTCGGAGTATAGCTGGAATGGTAGAACAATATGAAGGGTAGAGGGATAGTGATAAGGAGACGATCTGCCCTATGGTTATGCATGAATATGCCTTCCTCAACCAAAGGATCAGAGCGATGGCATTAGTGGGCCATTGACAGATACGGTGCTACTCGAGATCTTCCTTTGATCGGTGTCCTGAGCTTCCATTAATGGCATCTCATAGGTTGAATGAAAAATTGCTACTCTTGCTTTACGAGTGAATAAGCTCATCCAACCGATAATCAGATGACAAAAGCCCAGTCAAATACAGGAGACCAGAGAATTTGATAACCGTCTTTGGGGACGTTTGGGTAAAAACAGGAGTGTGCACAACACTAGTGTTACTGTCCATTAGGATAAAGTCAAACAGTGAATATTCCTCTGAGGAGATGCGGGAGTGGTGGTAGGAGAGCGAATTTATCAAGCAGTGGCACCTTGAAACCGTAAATGAAACATGACGTAGCAACAAGAAAAAACAATGAATTCCCGAAAACTTGAACTGCCATGCGGTAACTGGGTGTTCTATTCCAAAGGATAGATGTAAAAGTAAATACGTCAACAAAACGGATAGGACTCATTCGATGGACAACGACGCTCAGAGACTGGGAGAATGAGATTACCAGGAGTGTTCTTTGCAGCGAGACCAACCCATTAGTGCAGTCTAACGTTTTCGTGTAATAAAGGAACGCAGTGTAGAAAAGCGACCTGAATCTCACCGCATGAAAGCGTTCTTTCAAATCTTCTTTCGGCGCGTTCCACGATGCGACTGCATCGCAAAAAAAGAGAAAGTCATTCAACACACCGGCCGGGTTGAGTGTAATCAGGTTACATATTCCACGAAATGCGCTGTCTTTCTCCTCATTGTCCCGTATGTTACGCAGAAACAGACACCTGAAGTTGGCAAAAGAACCCACAGGTGACAATATAAACTACCGTTTAGTTGGAGTAGTGAGTAGACAATGTACTAGTTCCGAGGTATAATTCCCAGAAAATCCTACACACAGTGAGCTAACAGAGCGAGTCTGGATGAAAAATACAACCGCTGACCTCCATCAAACCAAATGAATGCAACAATTAGCTAGGACCGTATTTCGGTCCATTCATTAGTTTTAACGTGAATCGGCGGTCCGTTGTAATCTGCATAAAAGTGATCAAACATCTCGCACACTGGGATACAAATGAAAGCGGAGAAACAACTCCTCAGCACGGGTAACAGGCTGCTTTTTTTTCTTATTTGGGGAACAAAATGGTTTGTAAATGTGCTGATTTCGCGGACTAACAATAAAATAGATAAGTGTGATGATATCATGGTCCTGAGGTCTCAGGTCCCCATCAAGCAATTGCAGAGGAGTATCGTTGCTATGGTTCCTGAAAGATTTGAAACTGAGTGGAGCGTCGCAAACTAGGCAGTGGTGGGAATGCAACCCGACTGTGCCCATATCAGGGTTTGGCGCAAGAAAGGATCCAACGCTATCAATTTTCTGATGAAACAACTCCACGGGTAACAGGCTGCTTTTTTTTCTTATTTGGGGAACAAAATGGTTTGTAAATGTGCTGATTTCGCGGACTAACAATAAAATAGATAAGTGTGATGATATCATGGTCCTGAGGTCTCAGGTCCCCATCAAGCAATTGCAGAGGAGTATCGTTGCTATGGTTCCTGAAAGATTTGAAACTGAGTGGAGCGTCGCAAACTAGGCAGTGGTGGGAATGCAACCCGACTGTGCCCATATCAGGGTTTGGCGCAAGAAAGGATCCAACGCTATCAATTTTCTGATATATAATTGTAGCTCAGAAGAACTGAGATGAAGATGGAGCTGTACGTCACTTGGATTGCTGGTGTGGAGAGGTTTTAGTTTGGAAAGGTCATCTTGTGGTCATAGTCAGAGAGCGTATCAGTGACGTTTGATGTTGAATGAATGCAGAGGGTAAACAGCAAATCGAGGATATAGCGTCCGCATATGGGTAAATAAATATGCTGAGGTTAGCAAAGTACGCGAACTCCGAACAGCATTCACGAGTAAGAGGGAGTGACTACGTGGTGCTAAGCATATCAGAAGCAGTCTATGATTTTCATTTTGAACGGGTTGAATAAAAACTGCGCCAATGAAATGCACGCGTACCCTGTGAAAGTACTGGTGGAGTTCGAGAGAAATGGTGAACCCCAAGGTGTGATTTGACCAGCTAAGGGAAAGGTCGGAAAGTTGAGACGATTGCAGAGGATGTAAAGCACGCATTACGTATGTCTCCACGGTCATTAGTGGACTCCACTAGGTAAAAGACATAACCATGGACGGAGGGGTAAGTATCCGCGATGTAAGGGATACCCCACGTCCCAGTTATAAGTGAAATATCAAGCGGACGGCGGGACGTAGATGAATCTAATTTACAATCGATCTTGTATCCAGTACTAAGCCGAGCAGATAGGAGGAAGACGGGGCAGGGTTGCTCATCTAGTTTTCATGGCAAAGGTATTGTAAGGTCTAAGAATGGGAGTAAAAGTTGCTAAACCGTTCAGTTTGGGGGAAAGACATTTCCATAGAAGGAGAGTTTGGCGTCGCTGGAAGGTCAGCTGAGAATAATTGAAACAGAAGGTATATTTAGGAGGAGAGGGGGAGTACACTGTGTTGATGTTCGAAAAGCACGGGAGAATTTCGAGGAGTCACGCGATGCATCTCATGGATAGGTAACAAACTGTGGGGAGAAATGTTATCGCCATTAGTAGTGCTGAGTGCAGTGGCGGATCATGGGAGTATGATAAATCCAACTCAGGGGTTTAATAGGAGTTCGGGATTACTGCTGTTACAGTTGATTACCTCAATGCTGTTTTCAGAAGGGAGCGGCTGATGACTGATTTCACTATCAAGTTCAGCTGAGAGAATGTCAACGATAGGTCGCGAAACGGTGACTTCAAGATTGGGTGAGGTAATGGGGACAAACAGTGGGGAGGAGGAAAGCCTAGCAACGAAAATACGGAAGTAAACATGCTGAACAAAATAGTTAGGGGAAGAACTAGGACTGATTTCGTCCGAAAGTGAATTGGGACTGTCGATATCACCAACACGGATAGGAGCATCAGACCTGCACAGGCTTCCATGGATGAGATTCAGCGTTACCGGTTTGGCAAAGTTCGGTGATACTTGTGAGTTGGACGCGGTTTTTGTTAGTGTGACGCGTTCATTGACTAAACTCCTCCCACTAAGTTCGTCTAGATGAGGATGGAGATCAGTCTCCTGACGCTCTGGATTGTCGCTGGAAAAAGCTTGTCGAGTTGTTACCTGTAATTTGGATTACTCCAAGTTATAGGTCAACGCCATCGTGTGCGGCGCTTCTTGCCTAGGTATGAGTCCCTAGCACTTTCTCAGACCACATTCAAAAAGGGAAATAAGCAAATAAAGCACCTTCGTGCCAATTCAGCAGTCGCGCGGTGAAATCGGCGACGTAGGTTTATAGGACGCATACAGCGGGTTGGATAAGCGAGACACCTCTAAATCCCTTACTGCCCTCGTATACCGCTTGATGAGCATTATTCTGTGTACTACAGTTGTGGGTCTGTCAGTTAGGTGTTTAGGGTATTGACAGATCGTATGCCACCGCACACACCTTCGGCTACGAATCCGTGAGCCTCATTCTCCTGCTTTTACCACAGCCTTCTATGTGCAAACTTACAGGTAGGTCTGTCAACAGACCATCCTTGAGCACACTCTAAATGCTTTATCGATTTACGCCAGCTGCATCTCTGAAACCTGAATAAAAGATCCAAGTAAGATTGAAGGGCCTACGAATAGAACTTTCAGTGATACTACAGCTGCTACAGCGGGTTGCGTCGCGAGTTGAGGCCTCAGTGTTGAACTGGCATCCGTAAACAGCCGACTTTCCACATATACAAAAACTCCCACTGGAACAAATACTGAAAGCCTTTCTAATCGTGGCCAATTATGTACCAAGTAACCGAAGCCGCGATTCCTCGAAAACTACCTTTTGTGGGGAATTAACCACCCTGTTGTTCACAACCAAGGGTTAACATGTGGTCATAATAGCAAGAGATTCCAATGCATGGATAGGGCTGCCTCAGTTCTTGCGAGGCACGATTTTAGTCTAGTATGTTTAGTCGGGACACAAAACGCAGTGAAAGTGGTGAGCATTTTTCTCAACTTTTTACTGACCACCAGTTGTTATGCAGCAGCGTTGAGACTAGACACGATCGACACCGTTATTATAATAGGCGACTTTGAGCTTCTCAGCAACCTTGAAATCATACTGATCACATAGCCATCGGCTACTGATGACACTGGTTCAGTCGTTGACTGTGGATAATTCGGGAATAAACAGGTTGATTCAGACCACGCTCTCGTTCAGTGCATACTTTTTTAAAGTAAATTTCCCTGAGAAATCGTTCAGCTGTACCACCCCTTCGGTGCCTAACTGCCATTCCACCCGAAGGTTCCACTACCAGGTTGCCCAAGCCTAGACAGGGGAAGTCGAGAGGCAAAGGTCGGGTTCGAACCACGGACCTTCGGGTCATCTCGCCTCCCCCCAAATCTCCCTAACGAAACTCAGAAACGAACTTCACACTGTGTGCTAGAAAAGCTTGGTGAACCACTAGTTAAGGAGAGATATCAAGGCTGACCATGAAACACCTTACAAGTGGTCTCCTCGGGATAGGATAACCACAACCACATGTGACGACCGAAACTATCTTTATTGTTTCTGAGTGCACATATGAAAATCAGTGGATCTGCGAAGTCACTAGTAACTCTTGATGTGAGGCGTTTCATCTGTTTAGGCTCAAGGCATACTTCAGACGATCGATTAGACGTCAGCTTAAATGTGGCCTGTCTGAGGGGATAGAGGAGCAGTGGGACCAGGAAGTTCAAGAATCGAAACAGGCCGATACAGTCGGGAATGCGCTATTTCAGCTAATCCGAACAACAGAACCCACGATAAAGCTTGCTAGTGAGCTAATCAAAGATAGCATTGGAAATCGGACAGATACAAAAACAGCTTCTAGACCGCTGGGCAGAGTATTTTCAACAGCAGTTTAGTTGGCCATCTGCCCCTGTAACTATGAATTTCCTCTGATCTGCTCATTCCGGCTTCTGAAGTACCAGAGCTTTGTGTCTTGAAGCGCCGTCGGGTCAGACGTTATTCAAAGATGGAGGAAGATGGCTGTGCTTTGCCTTAACTAGTTTATTTGTACTTAGTTGAGAAGAATAACGTGTTCTAGAGCATCGAGGCCAGTGGCCATACGGGTATTATAAAAAGGATATCCGAAACGACTGTTCCAGCTATTAGGGTATAAGCCTCACGCCTGTCGCAACATGGTTACTGGTTTCTTTTATACTGGGACGCGTAACCTCAGCACATGGAACGCAAGTCGGAGAACATGTAGCAGTGGTGGGAGTAAACTGACCACACAATTATGTTTCGTCAAGTGCTTGCGCAGCGACCCGCATAACACACACAAAACTCTTCTTTTCCCTCGACTTAAAAATGAACTTTCCAATCGGTGGAAAAATTCACTCCTTGGAATATACTTGACCGGAGAATGTCCTTAAGTTTGTACACATTCTCCGTGCCCATAAATATCGGTATTGAAATCAAGTCAGTCAAGTCTGGAGAGACCAGCAAACTTGGATTATGCGGGCGACGTCTGACGATTTGTCCACACAAACTACTATTAGCAGGATAATATCGGAGGTCCCGTGATTGCATCTTCAAAGCGCAACGTTACTTCATGATTCCCAAGCGCTGTTTGCCGTTCCGAATACGGAGCTTGGGTTTTTGATCGGTTCGCATAGCTCAGCAGTTACATAAACAGAGATTGTATTATAACACACGAAGTCAATGAACGCAAAGTCAAGACCCGAGGAACGTCCATCAACTTGCGTCGGTAATGGCACCAGTTCATGAAAGCTTAGAGACCGCGACGACTGTAATCGCCCCCTACTTTATGGTTGCGAACCTTGATCCGAAGATCCTGAATGTCGTCAAATTTTTTACCAACGTGGTTCGGTAGCATAACAAGGGTCAACTGGCTGCAGCGTGTTTGCAGCAAAATGATGCGTAAGTGGGTATTATTTATTCATCGGAATTTCCAGAGCAGCTAGATAAACGCATGTGGCTAAATTGATTGGGCATGTGGTACGGATGTCCAATCACCCGTCAAAGGTGTTGTCTTCCGAATTAAACCGCTGTCGGCGTAACGATAGGAGGGAGGAACGACCACGAATGCGCGACGAACCTGCGATCTATGTACACAACTACACGGCCGTATGAGACAGAGAGTTGCTCAGTCAATGTGGCTTCCTAGCACTGGAAATCGGTTGTGATCCACTAAACGAGCATGTTTGTCTTACACAGAATGTAACGGAAAAGCATGTACGGAAGAAATAAGTTCGTGGAAGAGCTTTGGATTAACTATGATCCTCAACGGTATCTTTGTTACAGCCTCATATGTCTCTAGATAGACGACAATACAAGAACGATTGTTTCCAGTGTACTATAAAAGCGACCAGGAGAAAACTCGTAGAGTTTTCCTTTTCCAGAACACACAACAAGCTCTCTCATAAGTACTGCGAAGTACAGAATGCCTTTCCCACGAAAGCAGTGAGTTTCGCCTTCACCCTTCGGAAATTCGATCTTTCTCAACTCTTGCGATCACAGCGTTTAGTTGAGAGCTCATTTACAAATGCTATCTACAACTGCCTCAGTAACAAGCAAATGATACATTCCAATTTTGGTATGCGTGTCGCGTGATGTTCAAAGCTGTCCCAGTAAGTGGACATTTAGTGCGACAAACCGTTAAGTGCAAAATGGCGGTCTTTAAAACGGTAGATGACCACTACAGTGGAACAAGTACGCCTTGGGATTTTACTTTGGTACTAAATAAGGGTGAGGTACAGTCAAATTTGACAACAATGCACAGTCGAACCGACTCCCTACAAGGCGCTTGGTACAAATTCGACGTAACTTACGCGTCGCTGTATTCATTTAGGGACATTCACACCCATAAAGGCTCTAAATATGCATTTACCTCTTGTGCCTCCAGATTGCTGATGCAACGCCTTATTTGGCTTTTGTGAGACCTCAAAAGTGCAACTCTGAAGGCAAATGAACGTTACACGTAAAAAATCTGAGGACAAGATTGGCTCAATTAAGCACCTTAAGGCGCAACTATTAAGAGATCAATGAACTTACCAATGTCGAATGAACAAAGAGAGGTGGGGAGCGACTTCCGAAGGGCACACAAATCCCAAACGCCCAATGGTTATGGCTAGGAGAGCGAAAGTGGAAAATATATCACTATTTCACTATTGCAGATAGTTCTAGTAAAAAAGTAGAACTGATCAATAAAGTTACAATGGATCTCTCAAAAAGTGGGCCGCGATTACGTCAGTGTTACACGAGAGCCTGAGCATTTAGCTCCAAATTTCAACTGGCTCTCGTACTACGGCTACCACGTTCGCATAAGCATCAGTGAGCTGCAGAGCAGCGCAAAGGTCATCACAACAAATTCAAGCTAATTCCAGCCTCATGATTGCCACATTAAACGTGGAAACAAACGTGTATTGGCAAAGGTCAAACGAAGCGTGGTTGACGGAAGGACATCCAAAAAACTTATCGAAATAGGCTATCAAATTGCTTGGAATTTCTTCCCAAAAACATTGCAGCTAGGCCCAAATACAGTGCCTATCATGCCTATTTAAGGTTTGCCAGGCGAAACTTTGCAGATACGTGGAATCGTATCAGCGAAGACAAACAGAGTTTATTACGAATATGTCAAATGAATAATTCCGCGAAAACCAAAAGAACGTCTCACCTGTATTTTCGTGTAAGGTCTTGGGAGTGTTTTGCCGATTGATGATCTCAATCAACGGCAACACAAACATCGACGCATACGGTTGCATCTCCTCACCTGAAAAATCACAACAGATGGTTACGGCTAATACGTGCTTTGTACGCACACCGGTATCAGTCAGTGTTCACGAACCAAATGAGGTGTATCAATAAAGAAAAACACGGCACATACCAGGGACCTTCTAACACGAAACACTAGCTCAAAGTGTGGGTTTGACACTCCACGGACATTCCAAAGGTCAGATGGAGTTTCATGGCAGCAATGAAAAGAGAAAATGATGTGACAGAAGTGACTCGGAGTGTCTTAATGTGCTAAAAACTGCTCATCCTCAGACTGGTATTCCTTGGTTCGAAAAAACACTTGACATCTGAACGAACCGTATGGACGAAAAAATGAAGGAAAATGAAGAAAAAATGAAGAGAGACATGAAAGGAACAGAATAAAACATGACGAGGTTAGTTCAGTGACAGAGCAGACATAAAAAACACTGAAAAGGGAGACCGCTGGATAAGTAGGAATTGTAGTATTGTAGTAATATAGCATTGTAATAGTATTGTAATATAGGAGATATAGCTCCTGAAATGAGGACCCTCGATTCGGGACAAAAAGGTCTCGTCTATTTGCAGCTACGGTGGGTTTATAAAAGACAATTGTCGAGTAGTAGGTCATGCACTTTATGAACCCAGTACAAAGGCACAAGATAATTCAGTCTAGGATCCTTTAGCTACATGTTTAAGGTGCCACGGGCTTGCCCGCTGATGCTGGGAATAACAACCAGGGACAGCCAAGTATGGACGACATAAGCCTAACCAGTTGTTGATATTGAGCGGTTGTCATTTGCCAGAGTAACGGTTGGACCAACTATAAAGTGACGGCAAGAGCGTTAGTGCTCGATGCCGTAAGCTAAGTAGGCAAGTGTGTGATTTTTATCATCCAATGATGCGTATTTTTCAAGGCCGTCGTCCATGGAGACAGCCACTACAAGAGATGCATCAGTTTCTAAATCAGGCAACCCACAACCAACAGTTTTTCTATGTTGGTGCTTGATGCTGGCTGATCTGACAGTACAGATGGGTGATATAAATTTGAGAGATATTCGCGACAGACTGATCAACGACACCAGATGGGAGACGGGTATAAAACGAATCGCAATCATCGTGGACGTGTGCAAATGGGAACATGACTAGATCTGATTCACTTTCATTAGTTGTAAATGGCGCAAGACGTCGTAACACCTCCGCGTCATCTGTGGGGAGCAGTTCAGTGATTTGCAATGAAAAATGGAACTCAAGCACTGCAATGCACGAACGGTGGAAAGTTTCGAGTGCATTCAAAACAATACTACACAGCGTTACGCAGCGATGATGATAGAGAACCTCACATCCAATGCTTCTTAGGCAATTAGGCAAAACCAGACATGTAGGTCATACCGATTACCGCTTGTCGAGACGCGGAATACCTTGAAGCGGTAGCTAATGCCGTACGAACTAGTGAAGTGATTTGCAAATGACTGCATTTCGCTAGTTTCCAGGAATTTGGGTTCAAGTAAAACATAAGGTTGACGGAAACTCACTCGCTGCGCCTACCTGATGAGCCCCAAGAAGGGCGAAACCGGTCGTGGGTTGTCGAAGAGTTTTCGGCAGCCTTATGAGTAGTGTACCACGTCTAAACCTCGTGAGTAGTTTCATTTATGGAAATACACAGCAACATTTCGAATACCGTACCAAATGTGACGCGAGGCAGCCCTTGTGCAGCACACTCATTTGAAGAATATTCTAAACGAGTCTGTCGCGAAAACCGAATCGGTATGCAAATGACGGTACTTGCTCGATGGTAAATTATTTTTCGCTGAAAGCGAGTTCGGTATGATAGAATACAACCGACGTAGTTATAAAATGGTTACAACAAACATGCGAAGCAAGTTAGCATTCAATCACCGGCCACATTTGGCAGCAAAAACACACTACTTGTGACATGTATTGCGTCTACAACAAATATTGGCAGCATATGATGGCAAAAACACACTAGTTGTGACATGTATTGCGTCTACAACAAATATCAGCAGCAGCAGCAGAGGCAGCGACATCGGTGTTGACACCGACGCTTCACTGACGTACAATAACAAAGTTTACCTGATTATAATTCAAGACTTAAAACGAAAAGAACAGAAAAGAGGGGATGAGGGAAAACACCTGGTGCTGGCCTGTAGCAAGCATTCTCAGGTGCCTACACCTCCAAGCGCTCACAGTTAGACAATCTGGAAAGAAACTGACAGCATGAACTTCACTGGCATCAATCAACCGCCATTTCTTGCAATACCTCCAGCCAAGTGCAAAAGGGGTCACGGGGACCCCATCCTGGAAGGCGGACGCACTGACGACACTCAGACTCCTCATTTCTTTCACACCCTTCTGGTAAGTCACGCCTCCACCTCGCTGTTTCCGCCATCCTGAAGGAGGCATGGAGAACAACAGTGGCTTCGGTACAGTTTCGCCATGCGTAGCAAATGACTGAGCCACCGCAGTTGATGCTGCTGGATGTGCCTACTGCACGACCAAACACCCGCTTTCTAATTATCTCGTTAGGAAAAACAAATTTATGGTTCCTGGTCCTGTTATCCGGGATAAACTTCTCGGACGCGTGATTGAGCCTGTTGAATGGGAACCATGGCGAAAAAAACACTGAGTTGCGTTAGTGATAAAGGGGTCGAAGGCCCATGGTCACTCAGGGAATTTGTTCGAACAACCATTCGAGTGCAAAGTTGTTGTCTCATTATCCGCCCCATCGCAGGCGACCAAAACCATAGAAGCTAGAACCGGCAAGCAGACGTAATTGGAAGGGGGCACCTAACAGTCAGTCCAAACCTGACAAACGTCAGACATTGCAGTTTGCACACAACTTTTAGTGTCTGATAGAAGAGTATGGTTTGTACAGCTTTTCTACTTTTCCGTAAACGAAACTTTCTCTCCCACTTACCCATCCAAGCACTAATGATGTCTCCTCATATGGTTCCGAAACGTTTGTAAGCAAAGTTCCAAGCTCGGTCAGCAAGTCAACAATTACCTAAGCAACTATTAAAAATGACCCCTCGTTTAGATTGCCACTTAGACTATTTCTAGGTTTAAACGAACTAGTAATTTAGATCAGGGCCATGCCAGATTCTTTCTTTCCCCGAAGTTAGCAGAATACGGGGTTTACCATTGCTCTTATGTTAGCTGATTACAATTTCTAGCTTTATGGTTGGTTTTCATGACGTTATTTTATGTCTCGATGAGCCCCCTGTTGTAAGGAATTCCGATAGTACCGAACTGAAGATCAATTTATGTATAGAAATAAGTGTTACAACCAATGACTTGCAAAGCTAAGCCATCTTACGCTGAGGAACGAAGAATCACACCACAGTATGTCCAATTGAAGTGAATCCACTTGAAGTAACTGTGTGGGGGGATAAATTACAGTACTTTCGTTACTATTATTCATGCGTTACCTGTCTTTTCCGACGAACTCGGCCTCAGGTGAAAAACACACCAGGTTCGGTTACTGTACAGCAAAACACCCATGCCATGCGTTCAAACGGGGTGCATTCACTGGAAAACTTGGAGAGAAATCACTTATTCGAACCATATCTCACCGAAAGAGTACTAGCACGCGGAACACTACCACTGTCATATACCATCCGCCCAAACGAGGTGTATCCAACCGAAAATTCAAAATAACTCCAAGGAGGTAAGCTACTCAGTACGTTGTTTTGCACTGAACTGGCACGCAACTATTTTGGCGGATAGAACACGTTCGGGTGAAGTGTGTCAACTGGGCACTTGAGTACGAGTAGCTCCACCTCGGGTTGAGTCAGGTAATCTCTGTGGGCGGTAAAAACGCAGCCGTATGTGAAAGATTTGGGTGAATAATCAGGTGAAAGACGCTTGGAACCGAACTTTTCTGAAAACGATTTGGGCGAATACTTTCAAAATGAACACACACGCGCCTACCTGATGAGCCCCAAGAAGAGCGAAACCAGTCATGGGCTGCCAAAGAGTTTTCAGCAACCTTGTGAGTAGTTCAGTTTATGAAAACACAGTACAGTAGTTCTACTCCTGTTAGAATAATCACGAATCCTGACGGGGTGTCGAAACAGACATTGCCGAAGGAACCAAAACAGTCTATATTTTAGAGAAATACACTAATTTGCAAATCCATTTGGTTTTCACGAGAAACTCAAATGAATCTCCCGTTTATGATATTCTACAACTGAGAGTGCTGCACACGGGCCGCCTCATGTTTCAGTTGGCACGACATTCGAGACATCGCAGTACATCTTCATAAAGGAGACTACTCACAAGGTTGCTGAAAACTCTTTGGCAGCCCATGACTGGTTTCGCTCTTCTTGGGGCTCATCAGGTAGGCGCGTGTGTGACAATATATTCTTCCACAACGTTCATGCATCAGTTAGGTCAGAAAACAATAGTCCTTGAAGAAACTAGCAATAAACTCACCTAACTGGATACAAATCTCCCCGATGGCCCAAATAGCATTGTTGCTGACTGAAATATGCTCAGACCCAAGGTTGCTTGCCAGAACTGACATAAACTGCCCAATCTGAGGGCGAATGTGAGCGAAACAAGCTTTGGTCAGGTCGCCTAACAGCGCAAAGCTGCTCTGACGCACATCCGGTTGCGGGTCTTGAGCGGCTTCGAACAGCAGCTTGACCAACGGACTATCAGCCACGAGTGGCTGCATTTGGATGCCTAGGCCTTCGAGCAACCCACTCAGAAGATCCAATGATATGACCATGAAGTCCTTGTCTGGGGGATCGTAGGCATCTGGTTGTTGTGTATGCAGCTGGACAGATAGGATGAAAACATAATGGTGACAAGAGTTGTGTTTACCTTTGCACTTTAGAGTGAAGGACAGAAGATTTAGTACACATGAAAGTGGAAAATAAACTCGTAGCTGGATTAATACAAGTCAATCGCGTGAATGCGCCTCACTCTCAGTATAGACAACAGCTGGTGGGTTTGCTTTGGATTTTTTTTGTTAAAAGGCTTATCGTCATGGACTTGGAGGCTACTGGGGTCGTCAGTGTTCACCATTATATAATGGACACGTAAGATAGCTTCTGTGTTTATACGATTCTTGCAAAAAGTGCTACGCTAGTCACTAGAGGTGAATGGGTCAAGACACATTACTTCCAGTTCCTGGAAGGCAGTTGCGTCGCATTTTCCATCGCCTGAAAGAAGTTCCGAGGAGATATTGATGCGCAGCGACCAGCTTCCCGAAAACACAAAAGATTGGAGAAGCCGAACTCTTACTGTGGACTTGACTGTATGGAGGCTGTTTGATTTGATTACGGTTCCAAGAACTCTGCACTATATGGCACTATACGGCTGCGAAGTACTGGTGTTGAACACTGATATCATGCTGTCAATGATGATGATGATGATGATGATGACTATATGAAACAAACAGCCAACCGAATCGGGTCCGTCATCTGTCGAACCAGAACGTACACACAGAACGTAAATGATGACGGGGTCTTCTGTGTGACCTGTGGCCGTGACTCAGCCCACCCTGGCGTAGTCTGTCCAGTGGGATGTGAGCACGTCCAAAACCTTATGGTTTGCTCCACTAATTCAAACTTAAATGTGGGTGTAAGAAGCTGAATAAGTGCAACTGGAACGACTTAGAATTAGAGGAAGCACGCTCCTACCCGCCGGAAAATATGACCTGCATTTCTTACCTTTGAAAAATGGTGAGCATGAAGTCACGAGTTCAAACAACAAGAAAATGCAAAACGACCGGAAGTATTCTTCTGCTCATTATATCATCAAGCTGCCTTTTCAACTCTTATTTGATCTTCGGGTTATCAGACGTGGTCGAAATGTGAATTGATGTTTTTCAACTTGTATGAAAAGTAATGATATCCTCTAAATTGGTCGACTAAACTTGTAAGGCTGGGAAACGAAAACGGAACGGATTAGAAGTGTCTGTCTGTTGTGGTGTTTCGTATGAGTTTTAATTGTTCATTTTCACGCAGTTCTGTTTTTTTTAAGTAGCTAGAGTAACTAATGCTTGGCATTATGAAGCCTTGATTGATCGCCTCTTGTGACGTACATCAATCTGCGTGCAAGACGCGTAGATCTTTCACGGATGTTGCGGATATCACATGATCCCGAAGGTTTTTGATGTCAAGGTGTTAATTTGTATTCATTTGCTGCGGCCTCAGCTACTATCAGCAATTGTCCGCAACATCAAGCTAGATATATATAATATATCCTGATGTTATGATCTTAACCAATTTGACATGGCATAAAGACGTTGATAAAGTCTTTCCTAAAGTCCGAAGAGTCTTCCCAAAATATGGCCTATTCGGTTATCCGAAATGTTATGCTTGTCACTTCCTTGTCGGCTATTCTGTTCGTCCGTCATTTTAATGGGACTTCGGAACTCTTGAATATGGATCGAGGCACAGATAATGCAAACGAAAGTCTTTGATGAGGACTTCAGGCCGCGACCTCCAGCCTAGCGCGCAGGCGTTCTACCAACTGAACTACCGAGGACGCTAACCCATGTCGCAAATGGACACTTGGATTCACATTGATTAGCCACACTTCTGCCCAATGGAGCAACAGCTGATGTCCGACAGTTTCATCAAATGGTCCATAGCCGGTTCAAACTTCACTCAAGGGCGCTGTTTTCTCGTCTGCATTGTGGTTTGGCTCGTACTCGATGGAATTTCCCGCCCGTTACATCCAGATATGATCAAAGCCCATTGGGAAGCGCAACATCGTATTTCCTTATCTCGCTCGCCTGATGACTTCAAATATACTTTCCGGATCCGAACTCCCAGGAATAATATTCGGATTATTTGTCCTCCATCGTGAAGTGTTTTCGACCCACTAAATCAGTTCTGCTTCCCGTCTCAGGTTACTAGTTGATGTTCAGTCTTCGTTGTTTACAGATACAGATAGAACAGAAAATTAATAAGCAGCGACAAATAAAGATTCCATTTATCCTTCTCAACTCGCGGCATGTCTGTATACACCCATGGTGTCGCAGTAAGGAAATCTGTACACTATCGAGCCTAGCCTCTAACCACAGCAAGGAGAATATCAAAAATCTAAACAAATCTACATATTAGTAAGGTGACCATCCAGACTGATTGTAGGAGACGCTTGCCTACTTATCATTTGATACACGGTTTACACTGAAAGATATCATCCATCCACTAACTTGGCTGTTAATTAGATGCAGCTGATTTGCTCGCTAGTTCAAAGTTTTATACAAGTACAACGGTATTTTTATATCAACTGGAAATCAGTAGGCTCCAGTACCGCGAACTGTCCCTTTGTGACCCCACCTGGGTTAGTTCAACTACTCTTTTAGCTACAGTTGCTTGGTAACATGTAGACTCATTGATAACTACGAAGCATATAGCGACTTGAGTAGGGCAGCAAAGCACCAGTGTTGAACACTGATGTTATGCTGTCCATGATGATGATGATGATGATGATGATGATGGCGAGGCTTACGTATTGGTTAGCCAGTAGTCAACCTTCATGTGACGGCAGTAAACATGACTATTTAGTCATTTGTTTTGTGAACAGTCAGCCGATATACCTCAGATGCGGAACTGCAGTCGTTTTGTCGGGAGAGTAAGTAATATCGGAGTAGTATGGAATCACTTGGGATCAATTTTTAATGATTGAGCAAACACATCAACAGCCCGTTTGATGAAGCTTAGGATTTTTTTTTACCGAAAATGCATAGATCTATCAACAGCCCGTTTGATGGATTTTTTTTTACCGAAAATGCATAGATCAACGGGATAAAACAGAGTTAAAAAGGAACTGTTAACGCTTTCCCTCTCAGGCCAAAAGTGATCTGAAATACTCTCCCAAATATTATTAAGAGTCGGTCACCACAAGGGTAATTTTGTGTAAATGTTGGCTGACCGAAATGAATTCAGTTTTAGGGCCAACGCGCTAGCTCTCGAATGGAAAGTGCGGACATCGAATCATCCCTAAAATATTGATTTTCCCGGTTTGGGAAACCTAAAATACCTTTGTGTTTTGAATGCTAGCCAAGTGCGGTGATACTGTCAGTGGTGGTCTGTTTCGGTGGTTCACCTGGGGATACACAAGCTAGGTGATAGTCATGCCGTCACATAGTGGTGTCATTCAAAGGACAAACTGACCTTGCTCAACTGAATAGTTCGATCAATCAAGTTCACACACCGGTTGAAGACAGGGGCACAATAGGGTAAGAATCCAGTGCCCAATGCCGTAGCCATACTGGATAGACACTCAAGTAGCGGGAACAAATCCTTTTCATCATCCCGGAGAGCATTCCACTTTGCGAACAGAGGCGGCATCAATAGTTCTATGTATTCCTGGGAGATAAAAACAGTCAGGAGGAAACACCCAAAGTACATACCGGTCGGTTTAGATGATGTCCCACAGAGTCCGCCAGGGTTCCGATAGCGTCGTACAGAATGAATAGATTTTTGTGTTGATACTGCTCCAAGGCGTAGACCAAAGTCTGCAAGATCATTCCCAAATGGGGAACAAGGTCAGTGCAAGCTTCCTCTTCCAGGGTCGCGAATGCAGAACAAGCAGCCTCCTGCACTCGCTTGTTTGAGTCGAGAATGCGCTTGAGTAACTACCAAGGGAAAAATCGTTTAGCTAAAAATAAAAGCACTTGCCTCAACCATGAGCGGTTTGAAATACTGTTCATGGGGCTGACCAACTATCCAATGGGAGTAGCGACTTAGAGTCCAACAGGTGATGCTACGTATGAGCGGTCGTTCGTCACATAAACACTCAATCAAGAAAGGACAAAGCTCCGGCAAGTATGGAACCATTCCTTTCATACAACCTGTGACGAACGCTTTCAAAGCGAACCAAATGAGAACAAACCTTCGGCTATAGCACCCAGAACCAGAATTCCTGACTCCTTTATATCCCACTGCGGTGAGAACAGTAGCTCTTTGGTGATCGGTAGGAGAATAGGGAGAAATTCGGTTTGGAATACGCTAGCTAACACATCGAGTGCAGCAGCAGAACACTTTCGAAGTGTCCAGTTGGATACATAATCGTCATCTTCGTCGTCTTCATCCTCCTTTGTTAAAAGATACAGGCTTTTCAGACAGGGTTTACAAATCGATCATACCTCGGAGGACATGAATTTGCTCTTCGTCTTGTGAAACCGTGGTCTAATATCAGATTCCTTATCAGGGATATGTGCATCCTCTAAGAGGTCATTCTTGAAAGAAACGTTTACTAAACTAGCAAACAGGAGTGACTTACCCTCAAAAGTATCATATCACTCTCGGAATACTTCATACCACGAACCAGTACAGGGATAAGTCGCTGAATATAAGGTGTCAAAGCTTGATAACAAATAGGCTGTTCTGAAAGCGACAGCCAAAATTCGCACGCTTCTCGAGAGATATTCTCATCCGCATCTTGAGTGCGCAGAAGCATAAACTGGAGAGCGTATATAGAATATCAAAGGATCTTACTTCAATAATGTTGGGAAGATGTGGCAGTAGCCTGTCGAGGTGGGCTTCTAGCAGTTGTACAAATGCCGAACAAACGTGTCTTCGAACGGTGGAATCAACATCTTCGGCTAGGGCGAATAGGCAGTGCAGAAATTCATCCACAAAGTTCAACAGAACCTGCGACCGACTGTTGATGAAATGACTGGTACAAGCCAACGCATAAGATCTGAAGGGCGAAAAACAAAGACATTTGAAACCGAGTAAACAACTGAAGTAAGTATAAAAACAAGAGCACAAGAAAAATTCATCTGAGTCTCAGGAACATAGGGAAAGCGAGCAATGATGCTAGGTGGGTTCGATACATAACGCTGATGCTTTACCACATTCAAACGAGGCAGGTAAAAATGAGCAACAAATGCATGGCTCAGTGTATCTTGGAACCGTATGACAATACCAGAATTCTCTCTGAAAACCCCAGTCGCATGGTACATTGTTCGAATGAAATCTGCATAAAGCAGTTCCGTTCCGCTAGGGTCGACGATCATGTGCGTACGTATGGTGGTTCAAGTCCCCGCGAGATGGCTCGGTGGTTAGAGGGCGAATTTAATTCACTAACCGGAAGGTCCGTGGTTCAAACCCGAACTCAGTATCTCGACTTCCCCTGTCTAGGCTTGGGCAACCTGGCAGTATCCGAGCCCTCGTGTTCCCTTCGGGTGGCATAACAGCTAGGCACCGAGAAGGGGTTACAGCTGAATGATTTTTTTCAAGTCGCCACAAAGTGGAAGGATTCAGAAATCAAAAAAGACAAAAGAACAGGGGTTAATCAATGCCACTGCGGTGGGCACCTCCAAACGCTGATGCGGTTGTCTTCTATTGACCCTGCTCGCAGACAATATGCACCAGTGCAACCCTTTGTTGAATTTTTCATGCTCTACCTCCATCTGTTATCTTTCACTCTACGACCGTTTTGAAAAACAGGGAAGTGAGGCAGTCGATGACTTTGTGTACAACGATGTTGACTGACTCACTGCAGTTGGTGCATTGGAATCAACTCATCAAGTGGACAAGCACCTGATTTGATTCGTCACACCGCATGGTTAAGTCGATATCCCCATAAGGCGCATGCAATGCTTCGAGGGCAAAGATGGTCTTCAGTGCAGTGACCAGGACTCACAACCATGGACACACGTTGTAGACCCTGCCTTCTGATGGCAGATTAGTATCGCGCCGAACGCAGGGGTGCCTAATGTGAAAACAATTAAAACAGGCTTCGGCGAGGAACGTGAAAACAATTAAAACAGGCTTCGGCGAGTTTACCGTTAACTTTGCAAACAGTGCAGCTACTTGATGTGATTGAACCACTCAGGCAAGGCATCTCTAGCGCTCCTGATGCCACAACCATGGTGGTGGTGTACACACCAAGTGTTACAACAACTCTGCGTTATGAGGGCACAAAGCAGACACCGAATCTCACAGCAACATTATATTATTTGGTGTATCTGAAACAAGCAGCACAATATCCTTCTCACACTCCAGTTCTTCTACGGGAGAAAGCCCACACCGGAGATAGAAGACAGCGAAGTTCGTTCGTTCTATTTATACTATGAAGTTGAAAAGATAACGAGCGGCAGTCCTTGTGAATCCTTGTGAATTCAGAATACTTCTCAGGGAGTTACATCACAAACAAGGGTGTTGGAGCGTAAAAATTAGAGGAAATGATGAAAATGGTGATCGTCATAAGGCGACGAGATCGACTGGGTCGAACGTCACTTTTAGGTTCAAGACGACAACCGTTGGCCTTCTAAATGTGCGGCGGTGTTCGAATTTTCCTATGGTAAAAGTCCGGTAAAAACCCACAATTCGGACGGAACTCAGCTTGGTTTTCATGATCCTATCGCTCACGAATAGGTCTGCCTGAAAGCAACTTAGAAGCGGTAGCGTCTAGAATGATGCCCTGATTCTTCATACATGCAAATTTTACATCTAATCTAAGGATAGTAAGGACATTAGACGTCTTCATTATCCCGGGTTCTTATATTTTGTAGATCCTCTGAATTCCTGTCAGACTACGAACGAGTTCTCCTAAATCCTTTGACAAGACAGCGGAAAGACTGAGGGGACTGAGCGTCCTATTCCAATACGATATCATCAGTAGTAGTATTTCATTTCTCATCGTAGAGCTGGTGGTGCGCCGATTGTTGTGGGCACTCAGAAAATCTAAATATTTCTTCCAAATGTTCCACCGACGGCGGATTTGGAATCAAGTTTTGGATCGCATTTGTCTGTGATCACTTCACTGACTGGCAGTTTTTTCGGTTCAGGACCACGGGAGAGTAGAAAAACTGTCTGGCCCTTTCCAATCGCCGACCTCTTCATTTCTCCATTTCTCCTCACCAACGTTAAAACTGTGGGTCAAGTAAGTGTGGAGTCATATAGTCGCCTTCCCAGGAGCACGTTTCCCCGAGATCCCACTCCATTTTGGTCAAGGCTTTGTTTTCGGGCACACAAAGACCGAGTTCGTAGCGTTTCCACTTTAGACTGGCCTTCCTGTGGCCGACCGGCTGGTTTCGCCTTCTTTAGTTGTCTACATAGCTGCTGTTGACAGATTTGTTTGACTAATGGATCTTCAAGGTAGTGAATACCACATGGGTAAATAGTGTTTCTGGTCACTGAATGGTTAAAGTCGAGAGGGTACCAGACAACACAGTGCTCACAATTGAGTTGAAAGCTTGAGCTTGCGATAAAGACCAGCGTATAACGGTACGAAGCTCTGGGAGCTTCTACACCAAATCTACCGTCTAAAGGGCTGTTGAACCAATAGAGCTAGGATATCCGTACACCCTGTCATTCCAGAAGTCTCGAAAATTTTTCGTAAAAAGTGTATCTGAAAAAGCCTACTGCAGTCTGTTGGGGAGTACGGGTGTGGGGTAGTTGGTTTTGGATTCTGAAAGACCAGGTCAGTCTGGCTCTACACAGTCGGCTATTTACAGGAACCTATACGACGCGATACCCACTACTGGGACCACACGGCACCGCTCCTGGATCATCCAACGTTAAGTAAACTGAGCCGCCGTGGACCGTGTTCAGATGCAATACTGTAGGAATGTCTTGTGTGCGTGACACTTTCAGGTATAACAGCCAGAGACTGGTAAATTAAACCGACCAGCCACTTCCATACAGTGTTGGCAAACATTACTTCTGGGTTAGCCAAGGAGAACGAGGGGGATATCAACTCAAAGCCTGATCCACAAGGCAGTGGGAGGTAAGGTTTATTTCAGGAGCCCTTCCCTTAGTTTATGACTCAACAACGTTACAAGAGAGGTAGCGGGTGTTGGGATCTTTTTAACAGACCCTTTTCGGAGCCAAAGACTCAGTAGCCTGGTTCAATTCGTTGTGGGGTGTCTATCCCAGGACGCCGGGGACAAGACATGATTGTCTCAATTCTAATGCTACTACGTATAGCAGGCACCTTCTGATAGCACAAGTAACTGCGATCGAAACGGTCGTACAGTCTGTCAACGTACTGGACTTAGAGAAACAGTTCCACGAAAGCCGCCCTTAAACTCAAGGTATTGGTTCCTGACTGTGTGGACGTAAGCAGAGCGATGAGGCTGAGAACGAACCTCTAACAACAGTCAACTGTTCGTAACGCCGTTTCAAGGATACTAACACGAACGAGATGGTGAACAGTGCCATCTTCTAGCAGGATGAAACGGGAACGGCCGAAGCTATGTTCTACAGTCAAAAGCAACTTCATGAATCCAAATGTGAACAGTTAAGATATAAATGACAAAAGTCTTGGAATAGGAGACAGGTAAAAGTTTGGCAAAAAGGTGGCGAGACATGTACTGCAGGGACGACGCTTCTAGTTCCGTTAAGTTCACCCGTAAAAAGCGAACAATCAGATATTCGGATGTGATGGCCTAACCAGCTTATTGATGCCAAACCTCTAGTGTCTTAATCAGCTTGGGATTGTGATAGTTACGCACCTAAGATGGGCTTCGATGCGTGACTGGCGTGCGTCTACCCATGTAACGAACCATTGCTAAGTTGCTTTGGAAGCCTTAATTGAGGGACCGGATTTGCCCAGAAAATGCGTTTATTGGTCACATACTTCATACTTTTTGCCAATTCACACGTTTCAATAGTTTCCGCTCCAGTATTGAATGGCTACGCGAGGCACACAATCCCCCAAAATACCAAGTATATGAGCCAATCGGCGTAGTCTATAGGACGTGACAACTTGTCTGAGCCGGAAGAGTCGCCACTTAGATCAGTGCTGATGATTTAATGTTCATGCCCGATGCAGGGAATACCCCGGAGGTACTGGTTGAGCTGGATATAGCTCACTAGTTAAGGCATGAACTTACTAACCAGGAGGTCTGTGGTTTAAACCCAACCTCAGCATCTCGACTGCTCCTGTTGAGGTTTCGAAAACCTAGGAATATCTCCGCCTTCGTGCTTCCTTCGGACAGTATGGGAGCTAGGCACCGAAAATGTGCGGCGGGGTGGCTCAGTAGTTAGAATGCGGGTCTAATGACCCGGCGGTTCGTGGTTTGAATGCGACCTCCGCCTCTCGACTTTCCCTGTCTAGGCTTGGGCAACTTGGCAGTACCCCAGCCCTCGTGCTTTCTTTGGGTGGAATGGCAGTTAGTCACCGAAAGGGTGCTACAGCTGAACGAATGTGCCACAACTGAAAGATTTAAGAAAACAGTTATCAAAAGTTGGAAGCTCTTTTATGTCCTCTCATCATCGCTAGGCTTTTTTTCCAAAGAAACAACATGGACCACATTAATGTAGTTTATACTCTTCCCTTAGGTATCTCACACATCATTAATTGATAGAAGCTGCCCTAGTGTTTCCGAATCAAGAGCGATTCTATACTTCACAGAGCCGCCATGGTTTACCACATTTGCTGATCTGCAAGACAGATTTCGGTCCCATCCCACTTTGCAGCAGTACGTCAAGGGACGTGTGTATCAAGCTACAGTATTTACCACATTGATCTGCAAGACAGATTTCGGTCCCATCCCACTTTGCAGCAGTACGTCAAGGGACGTGTGTATCAAGCTACAGTACGGTCGGTCTTTCTTTCAGGAGCACACGTCTGTGGGAAGTACTGGTTTCGCTAGCGGCGCAGCCTTGAGCAACACACATCGGGATAACGATATCTTAAGTGAGTTACTTGATTCTTCCAAATGGCACGGGAGGCCTAGTCCTATGTTATTTTTTAACAGTAATCAGGAACATACTCTTAGTTGCCAGCTTCGGCATCACACATAGCTGTCCCAGACTGCTTATCCTGGAACTTTCCCTTCTTGATAATCAGTATTCGCCTGGTAGTCCATCCTCTGCAGTGCCATTGTGTACCTGTAGCGCCTTGCAAGCGGGTAACTTTTGCCACCTCTTCGCCTCATCCCATTGTGGAATTATGTGGAACCTTAGCAAGTCCCCGGATTCGAACATGACACAGTCCGAGTCAGACTTTGATTACAGGTTTGTCTCGGTGATTCTGGTTTAATTCTGTTTTGTAACTGCTTTTCAGCCCGAACATCCTAAGACACCATACCGCATACCATTTAAGCACCAGTGCTTACCACTGATATATTTCTGTTAATAACAGTGATGATGACACCATAGAAAACAACCATCCGTTTTCAGAATTTTGGGATGTTGCGAAAGACAGGAATGTGTGGATCAAGTTGATATCACTTAGTCCGAGTATTTTGCCGAAGGAGGCTTCTAAATCGCGTTAGGTAGAAAAGAAAAGTCTTGTCGCTTGAGGTTTCATGTTTTACGAGTGCGTGAAAGGCTGGCATCCCTATTCAGGCTTGGAATGGTGTGGATTAGCTGTAAGCAGTAGAATATCACAAACGAGAGATTCAGTTGAGTCTCTCGCGAAAACCAAATTGATTTGCGAATGAGTGTATTTTTCGATAGCTGTAAGCTGGTTTTGCTAGGTTCATGCTGTGAATTGCTTCACTAAAGCAGTCTACCACCCAGATTTTCATTGTTCTTGTTGCACCAGATTGAAGATGGGATGTATCTTTCTTTAAGGGTTAGGTGACGTTGCAGAAAAGGCTGGACCGGTTGTACATGATGGCACCGCACCCTCCTTATCTGCGGATCGGCCATCGGTTATTGGATCCAGAAAACCGAGAACTGCGAAGGTAAGCTTCCGTGAAACGTTATTTTTAGTTAGCATCTTCCGAGGGTGTGACTAGTACGCCAATGTTCGGATTCCTGTTTATCTTCGCTTCGGTGTTTAAATCCCAAGAGTGAATAATTTTTATGTAGTTAGTTGCTATTCTACAAGGTCTGTAGACACGGTTGTCTGATCCAGGCAAGACCGAACTCTTTGAAGTGTTCTACTCCCAGAGGCAGAAACTCCAAGACGCACACTCTAACATTTTCTCGCACATTCTGGGTGGATAGCATGCGTATGGTGGGCCGAGAGTTTGCGAAAATGAAGTAACACAACGTATATCGCCATAGTGACTTTCACACGAAGACAGTTTACTGGCCATGACTTCAACCGTTTTATTGAACGCTGTGCTGATGCCTACGTTGCTCATCAAGAAGGTGGTAGGTCGAGTAGAAGTGTTTCCAACAACGAATTGGAATTGCTCCAACCTGAAAATATTAGTTTTTAGGTTTAATCGAGCGGGAAGGACAGTAATTTATTTGTTAGATTATCCAAGGAGACTGAAAGACAACGGTAAAATCGGTGACAAGCAGTATAAAGAGCTTTAAGCTACAGGGACATTCCGCGTCTTGTAAGTGTACAGAGCTCATACTGTTGTTCTTAGTGAACTCGGGAATCTTCCAACTTACTGAACAAAACCGGTTTCCATAGACGACTTCGCGGTTCAACCCCTAATCGATCTTCGTTTTTTCCTGCCCCAACATAGTTTTAAGTGTCATGGTTGTGGAGTTCTTGTTGTCAGTTTCTATCCAGATTGCCTGAGTGAATGTCTGTAGGTGTAGGCACCTCGGAATGATTGTGTTAAGCTAGCACTAGGTCCCTCCCCCATCCACCTTTACTCTTTTGTTTACAATAAGGCTTTCAAATAAATCATGGTTGTACAGCAGTGAAGCATCGGTGTTGAACACTGATGTCATGCTGTCGATGATGATGATACTGTTTGTGGCTTTCTGCGTTTTTGACAGTTTGTCAAGCTGAGGCAAAAACAAGAAAAACAAAATGATATCTTAATGAACCCTTCATCAGGTGTAGAGTCACACATCGCCAGTGGCTTCTTGGACATCAGGGTCTCCTTTGGTCCTGCTGACGCCTTATAGAGCCGCTTGCTTCTTCACTACCAAGGTACCTGGATGCAACTGGGCGATTAAGACAGGTTTTATGCCATCATGGGAACCAGTAATCGAGAGAGACACTCGGTGTCGAGTTACTATACAATTATGCTCAATTTCAAGTCGCGTTTGGTGACACGTTCGCAAACATGTCACCCAGAAAAAGTCTTATACTTTGGATAATCAAGGATAACACCAGACCACAAAGCAGTACAGTAAAAAAAATTGTTCAGCTGTAGCGCCCTTTCGGTGCCTAACTGCCATTCCACTCGAAGGAAGCACGAGGGCTGGGATACTGCCAGGTTACTCAAGCCTAGACAGGGGAAGTCGAGAGGCGGAAGTCGGGTCCGAACCATGGACCTTCCGGTCAGTAAATTCGCGCTCTAACCACTTATGCCATCTCGCCCAGTACAGTATGGTGAACATCGTTATACCGCAAAGTCGAAGTGGAATGCAAAATAGGGCTATAGATGCTGTCAGACTAACCTGTTTTTAGGGCTTTTTGTTATCATTGGTTTGAATATAATACCGCCAAATCAGGAGCATCTTCAGTGTCCACAGACATCTACGGCGTATTAGTCAATAACCCCATTTTGCTGGGAGTCGACTTACAGACGACTTACGCGTTCCAGATCTAAAGGTATTGTTCAGTTGCGCACTGCTAATGTGCTGTTCCCACCAAACGTAAATTATGTTATGAAGGGGTCGTTCGTAAAAAGTGAGCTTAAGTAGCTCCGAGGTTAGGACGCATAGCTACTGACCGGAAGTTTTGTGGCTTGAATCAAATCAGAGGTTTCTGATTGACTCTATCAAAGCCTGGGAATTTCAAGAGTATCTCAGCCCTTGTGCTTCTTTCAACTATGCCAGCCAGCTATGCCAGCTACGCCACAGCCAAACGATTATTACTATTAGCGTAACGGTGGATACTACTGATGGAGCATGCGAGCAGTATGTAGTTTTCTCGTAAATCCGCTTCGTGTCTATTGAAAAATGAGATTACTGAATTTGTGAAATCGCTTTGTCGCATTTGTTTATGTTTGAGTGATGGTCAATGAGTATCTAAGAAAGTGTAGGAAGACGCGTTCGAGAAGAAGATGAATACACAGTTTCTATAAGCAAGATACATATGAGAGTTTTGTTCCCCTGTCCAATAGTCTGTAACTGTTCAGTTTGTTTTCCAATAAATAACTCCTCAGAAAAGGCCGTCTTCCTTTCATTAGTAGTACCAATTATAGTAGTAGAGAATTGTGGGCCAGGATACGGAAACACGGGCATTACTCATCCACAGGATCCGAGAGTTCGGCTAACCTGGTGCAAAGTGGTCTTTAGGGGGGAGGGACCTTTGACAGTATTGTACTTCTCCTACCCACCAGCTCTCCGAAAAGACATCTTGTGCACTTATCGTTGTCTTTCAATACGACTAATGCATGAGAATACCACGTTGAACATGGGTCGAGGCACTGTCAAGACGGATACACTACAGAAAACCACCGAAAATAATGGTCGTTCAACTGTAACACCCTTTTGGTGCCTAATTGCTGGGTCCATCGATAGAAACACGAAGACTGAGATACTGCAAGTTGACCCAAGTCTAGACAAGAGCGGTCGAGGGTTGGGCTCGAACCGTGAGACACTCGGTGAGTTCAAGCCTTACCACTGAGCTATGACGATCGAGGGGATATGTCTTGGGGGGATCCAGTTGCAAGTAACGTGGCCAATACCGGTGTACGTTTGAGAAACTTATAACCAACTGTGACGACATAAAAAAAACTGGCGAATTCTTTAAGGTTTACGATTCGGCCAAGAAAACCAGCAATGATAACTTTTGACTATTCCATTACATCTCTTTCAGCTTATCAGCAAAAGTGTATACTGTCTGACTAAAGCCACTAATATTATGCCCTGAATGCCACAAGAAAAGCCCATGTGAAATGAACCAAAAACAGGGTGGTGGGGTATACGGGCTACAGGAAATAGATGACTGCAAAACTGCCAGAATTCAGAAAAAGTTGGTTGGGTAATAAGCGTTCGAACAAACTATAAACCAATAACATACCTTATTTTTGCACTTTCATGTTTGGTGAACTGAAGAAATTTCGGAATCAAAGATGTCATCGGATAGCTCAGACGACCGTCCTCAAGTTGAGCAGACGAGTCTTCACATATTTTTGCGATAGCACCAAACGCTCCCTATGTGTTCATTAGCGATTTTTAGGGGATTAACTCACCTCGATGACATTTATGTCACCCGAGTCCAGACACTCAACAAGCTTTGGTAACAACTCAGGCCATGAGTGAAGACCGGCGCTAGATACAATGGTGGTGATCAATGTTCCGACGGTGGAGCGTATCAGTGCCGAGGGATCACTGATACACGAAAGACATCCGGCCTTTACGTAATTAACTAGCTCTGGTGTGCATCGTTTAAAATGCCCTTTTAAGTTGTTCTTCAAAATAAGACCACTCATTGATCGCGTAGAGTCAGCTGAAAGGTGCTGTCAGCTGTCGACAAAAGAACATACTCTCTGATTTCGCCCCGAACAGCACATAGGCCAAATATTTATTGAAATCGGGGAAGTTATTTAGTTCTTCCAATCTCTAAATTGGGCAAATTAGTTAATGTATGGAGAACTAACCTCATGAACAGCCTTCTGCACGTTGGTGTCACTTGACTGCGAGTTATGCAACAATTCTAAGGTCTGACGTATACCGTCCTCACCAAGATTCCAAGCCATTGTAAAGGTGATATGGTGAGTAGGTGACAGCGGATGGGCAATCAAGCTGGAAGTAGAAAAAAGAAAAACTGCAGGTGTCAAGTCTGTTATGTTTGTTGTTCGTACAAAATTATAATGGACAGGAGGACGCGGAAACCTGTATGTGTCTCCGTATTAAATTGAATAGCCGGTATAATAAAGTATGACTCGGAAATGATCTTGACAATTAAGGAATCCAGGACTCTTAGGAAAGCTTTTGAGAGAATCACCCACAACCGTCTGGGCATACCTGGATACTGCTGAACCAATGCGTTTAGCCACTGAACAAGTAGATTTCACCCCGCGAAATTCGTGGAATGTTGTCCAGTCGTGGTAACAAATATGGGTGCACATCACTATTCAATTCAAGTTGACACCGTCTAGTACGCAAAATTAAATAGTACGAGTCGGTTGTGCAGTGACTTTAACTGTATTAACTCCAATCAGAGGTGTACGGTAAGTCTTGCTTGAGTTCCGCACATTTGGCCAAGTTTATCCTTTTTTCACTGAACAAATGTGCAGTGCAGAGGAAAGAAGGACCCATGGTCAGGCACCCCCAATAAACAATTATAAAACGCAGTACAAACCATGGTTAGAATGAAACAAAACGGAAGGTAGAATAGTTGTCGATCATTTGAGTGCGAGAAAACAGTGACAAAGAGTTCCAAAAACATGTTTTTGAAAAAAGATTATAGAAGAGCAGTTCTACAAAGTGCTACATAACTTGATATGGATCGTTAGATGAGTCAAGACCTGTCACTCGATTGAAATATATAAGCAAAGGACAGAAGAGGCAAGCTTCGGTGAGCATCTTCCGTGATGGGAAAGGCGAAATGAAGCAAGAGACGTTGCATTCCGGTGGTGGACTCGCGGACTATTAGTCAGCGAGGAAGCATCGATTGGACGCACAATGTCACGTTAAATAAAACCGGGCGCCGGTCCAAACATGACAGCAGCATTTCAAAATACAACAAATTTATGATTGCCATTCAGTTGCAACACCCTTTCGGTGCCTAGCTGCCACGCCACCCAAAGGAAGCACGAGGGCTGGGATACTGTCAGGTTGCCCAAGCGTAGACAGGGAAAGTCGAGAGGCATTGGTCGGGTTCGAACCACTGACCTTCCGGTCAGCTAATTCGCGCTCTAACCACTTGAGCCATCCCACAAAGAGGAGTGGGCAAAGGTGGATACCCAATAAAGGAAACCGATCTTCCACGTTGATCGCATCGCGAGCATCTTGATACCCGAGGACCAACGTAGGTTGTTAGCAAACAATAGGCTAAGGACGAACGATAAGGAAAAAGGATGATAACGGATCAAGATGAGTGGTTCAGGTAAGGGATGGGATTGCGAAAGATGGACTACATGGAGGGACTTGCAGGGAGTGAAATTTGACGAGTTTGACAAGGCCCATTCGAGGATGCTGACAAGATCGATGGTCAGGACAGTAACGGCTTGTGCCCGGTCATCGCGCAGTCACACGAAGGGTAACGCAGATTAGCGTTCCCTGTAGACATCGATAGAAGAGGTAATGGTAAAATACCGCTCATCTAAAGAAGGATCCTTAGAGAAATCCGGGTGACGACGTCTGGATATTGCGCAGATATTACATCACTAGTGATTCACCCCAGTCGAGTGACGACGTCTGGATATTGCGCAGATATTGGGAGCTCAGCAAAGTCTGTGAGCCGGTCAAACGCCTTCGATAAATGGAGGGCGAAGTAATTCGCTTCAATAACAGTTCACAGAGAAAGACTGAACACGCTGCTTGTAAGCCATCATACCATTCGTGAAGCAATGCCGCTTAAAGTTTGTGAGCCGGTCAAACGCCTTCGATAAATCGAGGGCGAAGAAATTCGCTTCAATAACAGTCCACAGAGAAAGACTGAACACGCTGCTTGCAAGCCAACATACCATTCGTGAAGCAATGCCGCTTAAACCATTCAAAATCGTGTTCTCCTAAAGAACGCCGAAAAGTTCTAGCCAAAAATTGCATTGTGAATTTTGGATGAAATAGTGGTAGTGGAGATAAATGGGTAGTTGTTCGGGAGGAACCAGAGCCGCTTTTGGGAATGGGGAGAATAAAATTCTCCCGGCCTGAAGGACACACATCAGTGGATGAAAATGGACATTAACTTATTCATCATCATCATCATCATCATCACCATCATCGACAGCATGACATCAGTGTTCAACAACGATGCTTCACTGCCGTACAGCCATGACTTATTTGAAAGCCTTATTGTAAACAAAAGAGTAAAGGTGGATGGGGGAGGGACCTGGTGCTAGCTTAACACAATCATTCCGAGGTGCCTACACCTACAGACATTCACTCAGGCAATCTGGATAGAAACTAACAAGAACGCCACTGACATCGGTTGGCAGCCATATATTGTAGTGTCTCCAACCAGGCACAGTGAGGATCACGCGGTCCCCATCCTGGAAGG